CATGCTGCTAACATTACCATGCTGCTAACAGTACCATGCTGCTAACAGTACCATGCTGCTAACAGTACCATACTGCTAACAGTACCATGCTGCCAACAGTACCATGCTGCTAGCAGTACCATGCTGCCAACAGAACCATGCTGCTAACAGAACCACTCTGCTAACATTACCATGCTGCTAACAGAACCACGGTAACAGTACCATACTGCTAACAGAACCACTCTGCTAACAGTACCATGCTGCTAACAGAACCACGGTAACAGTACCATACTGCTAACAGTACCATGCTGCCAACAGAACCATGGTGCTAACAGAACCATTCTGCTAACAGAACCACTATGCTAACAGTACCATGCTGCTAACAGTACTATGCTAACAGTACCATGGTGCTAACGGGACCATGTTGATAAGAGAACCTCACTGCCAACAGAACCACTCTGCTAATAGGACCACACTGCTGTAGATGTATTTCTTTTTCACTTTTGGCACCTTGTTTCTGTATTTTTGTTGCATGCTTTGGTATTTGTTGTTGTTTTGGCGAGTTGAGACCGTTCTTCTCATCCTCAGCATTTCTTTGCATTGTTGACCTTGTGTTGACAATAAACCTAAACATAAATCTGAACTGTAGGTACGCGCTCAATGTAAACAAAGCGCTCTGCTGAATCTGCCAAAAAAACATGTGGCCACATGACTGACCTGCGTTAGGCTGGTTGTAGTCTGTGTAGGTAAACAAAACTGATCATATATGCTGATGTATCTACAGCTAACACGTTAGCTTTAAGTGTATGTGTTAGCTATTATACAGATCATCTAACACTTAGCTGCTTTCTTTGATAACAACAAAACATATTTTTCAACACTAAGCCACGCTGGGATAGAAATAAACAAAATCTATTTTTTTTATTCAGCATCTAAAATGTGTCTGAATCAAAGTCTTAGAATGTGTTTTTTATTTTTATTTTTTTACAGATTCGGGAGCTGGTCCCAGAATCTCAGGCCTACATGGATCTGCTGGCTTTTGAGCGCAAACTGGACCAGACCATCATGCGCAAACGTGTGGACATTCAGGAAGCACTGAAGAGGCCAATGAAGGTATCAGAAATAAGAAATAATTTATCCCCGTGAACCTGTGGGCATCCTGCGAAGCTCCATCTGTAATATTTAGCATTTTCACTTTACATATTTGTAGTTTTAGTGATTTTTTTTTCATTATATTCAGCCAGTTTGATCTGATTGGTTCACTTCCACTAGTAATGTGTTATTAATTTGAGCTGTTTACTGTGCCCTTTGTGTCAGCAGCAAAAGCGTAAATTGAGGCTCTATATTTCAAACACTTTCAACCCGGCTCGACCTGACGCAGATGACTCAGATGGCAGCATTGCATCATGGGAGCTAAGAGTAGAGGGGAAGCTGCTGGATGATGTGCGTTTTATTTCTTATACTCCTCTTAGTTTATTTTTTAATACATTTATTATTTTATGTAGAATCTCTGCTCTATGTGGAGCCATGTATCTGATAGATTTATTGTTTGTCAAATGCTTTTTATTTTTTTAAATCTGTGATTCTAATTCTATGTAGTATAAAAATATGATGCATTTGTGATCCATATAGTGATGACTTTGTGCTTTATTGAAGGCTCCAAATGTGAGATGAATAAATGATAGTGAGATGAGCGTTTAGAGATGAAATGATTAGTTTTTGAGACAGAAGCTCTGATGTTTTCATCAGTGGACACTGGACAGCGTTGAGCTCAGAAACCCAAAATATTTTAGGCTAAGCTCACAGGAAGTGGACCCTGAGAATGTGTGCTGTCATATTTTTGTTCTGATCTCACTCAGCTCCTTGTGGTTTCTCACAAGTAACGATGCTAAAAGGAAAGATTTGTCATGCACACGTTTATAAATTTGCCTACGACAAGTGCATTTGTGAATGCGCTCATGAGTTTTTGATGTGGAAATGATATATGTGTGGTTATCTCCCTCTTATCTGTCTGGCAGCCCGGGAAGCAGAAAAAGAAGTTTTCTTCATTTTTTAAGAGCCTGGTGATCGAGCTGGACAAAGACCTGTACGGTCCTGACAACCATCTGGTCGAGGTCAGCACTAACAAGATCTCTGCATGACAAAACGAACATGCACCGTCTGATCATGAGCATTTGTAAATTATCAAATGTACTTTAAAATAAATGCTTCACAGGAAATTCTAATATTTTGTAATGTACTAGGCCAGCTAAAAGCTCAAAGTAGCCAAAAAATAGCTAGAAGCTAGCAGCTAATTGTATGAATGTTTATGAAGCATTCACGCTGTTGTGATCCATTTTTCTTCTGTACATTTTTCAGCATCTTTGTCGTTCCACAATTTTTGTGCTATTTCAACAAATCAAAACGTTCAGCTCGTTCAGGAGGAGCGCCATGACTTTTGGTATTGGTGCAACTTTAGCTTTTTGAAATATTTAGCTTTTTTGCCACTTTTTTTCCTCATAGAAAAAATTAATTGAGTTCATTTTACATCTTTCAAATCTTTAGCTCTGTTTACAACCTATTACTGCTCCTTTCATGTTTTGTTTTGGTTCAGCTTCTTTCAAATACCTTGTGTAAATTTCAACTTTTTTCAGCTACTTTCGGCTGATTTTTCAGCTTTGTGATCCTTTTAGATTCTTTCTGCTAACTACAACATTTTTGTGCTTCTTCTAACTTCTTTCAGCTAATTTCAGCTTTTTATACTCCTTTCAGCTTATTTATATAAGTTTCAGCTTTTTATGCTCCTTTCAGCTTATTTATACAAGTTTCAGCTTTTTATACTCCTTTCAGCTTATTTATATAAGTTTCAGCTTTTTATGCGATTTCAACTACTGTTTAGTTGCTTTATGCTAATTTGAGCATTTTCAGCTAATCCCAGATTTTTTGCAATAATTTCAACTTTTTTTTCAGCCTAATTCAGCAAAAATGTGCTCTCTCCACTTCCTTCTGGTAACTTAAGCTTCTTTTTGCAGTTTTAGCTACTTTTCAGCAATTGTTTGGGATAATTTCAGCTTTTTTTTTTCCCAGATAATTTCCTCCTTTTTTGTGCTCATTTATCATTCTTTCAATATATTTGGGCAAACATGTCCTTTCCGCTTAATTATGCTAATTTAATCTTGGTCTAACTTTTCAGCTAACTTTTTTGCATTTTTAGCGAATTTCGGCTGTTTTCATATAAATTCAAGTTTTTCATGTTAATTTCTGCAACTTTCACCCTAATTAACTTCTTTACGCTAAAATTTCAGCTTGTTATGCTCTTTGAGTTTTTTTCTGCTAATTTCAGTTTTTCCTGCTCTTTCAGTTAATATTTACCTTAATGCTAATTTTAGCTTTTTCTGCTAATTCCACTTTTTTTAAGTAGAAAATTTCAGTTCTTTCCACTTTCTTCTGGTAGTTTAAGCTTCTTTTTGCCTTTTCAGCAACTTTGAAGCTGTTGTTTTGCTAATTTCAGCTTTTTTTAGCTAATTTCCTAATTTTTGTGCTCATTTCTGCTTATTTAAACCAATTCAACAAATACGTGTTCTTTCTACTGTATTTTGTTAAGTTAGGGAAGGCATGTTCTTACCTTTCAGCTACATTTCAGAATGCTTTTCAGCTAATTTCAGCAGTTTTTTTCAGCAAGTTCTTCTACAATAAGCATTCACACTGCATTTTCACAGGAAATGCAATTTCACTAGTTGTGTTTCAGTACCTTCACATACAATATTTTTGTAAGTAAAAAATATTTGAAAACAATACAAGTTACAAAAACATCTATCTCTTGAATGAGCTGAACGTTTTGACATTTGAGTGGCTAAATAAGTAATTACACTGCTAAAACCCAGCAGAAAAATTAAAACAGGAAAGTGATGGTGTGAATGCTGAATCATCGTTCAAACAACAGTTTTTGAGCAAATCCTCAACTTGTAATGTTAAAAGGTGACTCAAAAAGTGCCGAGTGCTTTGTGATGAAGAAGCGCAATAAAAAAGATAAATTGCACAGCTCCTCATTAACATTTTACAATTGTTAACTGCCGTCTGTCCTCACATCCTGTGCAGTCAAGCGGGGTCTTTTATGTCTCTGCTGTTTGTTTTTTATTTTGCTATAAATTGACTAGAGCAATAAACCTGAGCCCAAATCTTCACTCGGTCTGATTGCACTTTTAATAATAAAAAAGATTCAAACAGGCAGAATTGGTCTGATCTGTGCTTCACCTCCTCTGTTTAACTGAAACTCGACATATTTCAGAGCAGGAAAACTAACGGTTGCACTCCTTACCCTTAAGTGAGGTTCTGATATTGCCCATTACAACACTGGCAAAAGTTTAAATTAACAGGACAATGTTTTAATTAAAATAAGTCACATTCTTGCTGATAAATGAGTTGGAAAACTGTCTTTAAATATGAAAACACAGAGAGGAGGTGGTCATTCTGACACCATGAGGCTCCTGGCAGTGTCGAGGAAGTCAAGAAATAGTTCAGAGAATAACACCCCCTGAAAACCACAGCTTATTATTCTTTTCACTTCAGTAGATGTAAATGTGAAACAAAGCACATCTGGCTGCACATAAGTCTAGAAGCAGAACAACCGTTTTCTGTATACTGCTGACTTTACTGACAATGATTTGTAAGGTTAAAAAGATGTAAAAGACTGTTTTTGGTTGTTTAAAGGGCACTTTGACTACCTGCACATGTTAGTCTTATGCTGTTTAAGTTGTTGTTTGTGACATAAAAACTCCTTACTTGAAAAATAATATGCTTTTACTTTTTTTTTTTTTTTTTTAACCTAAGGATGTCCCAATTATTCTATGTATTCTGGGTTGATGATGTACATCGTTGTACTGGAGACTAAAACACAGGGAGTCAAGACTAAAAGCTGTAACGTGACAATAAAGTTACATTTTATTTTAGTACTTGTGTACAATATATGGGTTGAAACAACCAACTTGTAATGTTCAATTTATTGACTCTGGAGCTAGCACTATGTATTGGCTTTGGCGCTAATGCTATTAGCTACTGAGTTAACGTGATATATGCGTATTAGCTCTGAAGCTAAAACTATTTGCTCTTGAACTAACACTATTAGCTCTAGAGCTAACGTCATATACAGTATATATTAGCACTGGAGCTAACGTTGTATATGTTAGCTCTGAAGCTAATGCTATTTGCTCCTGATCTAACACTATTAGATCTGGGTCTAACATCATACAGTTGTCCCTCATTTATCACAGGGGATCCATACCCTGAAGACCCGCGATAACTGAAAAACCGTGAATTAGGAATATTAGTACAAGTATTCTGATGCATGCTCAATAATCCAGGTAGAAAAATCTAAAAAATTTAAGTTTGGTCCTCTGGACATTCAAAAAACAAAACAAACAAACAAACAAAATGTAGAAATGTTTCGTCTTTCATCCGAAAGACTTCAGTCTGAGGTGCTGTATTCAGCTCATAGCTATTTATAGAAGACTGAGCTGAATACAGCACCTCAGACTGAAGAAGTCTTTCAGATGAAAGATGAAACATTTTTACATTTTTGTTTTGGTTTTTTGAATGTCCAGAGGACCAGACTTAACTTTTTTAGATTTTTCTACCTGGATTATTGAGCATGCATCAGGATATCTATATTTAAAATTCTATTTTTTTTTTTTTCATCATTTGATGTATTTGCACTCATTGTGGTTTTGTTTCTTGTATACAAATTATTTTTAATTAGCTTTGAATTAAAGTTTAGCTTTAATTTAAAGTGTAATGCTTGTTTTGTGATTTGTACATCTGTGGGTTAGAATAATGTTGAAACAAAGGCTGTCTCTTCTTTAAACATGTTTGAGGGAAATATGAGAGATTCAATAATTTTGTCTTTTTATAATAAAATCAAAGGGAAAACAGGATTTCACGATAAAGCCAGCACAGTTTATTTATTTTTAAACTTCACTGATAAAAAAAACTTATTTTATATATAAAATGTAAAAAAAAAAAAAAAAACGTTTCCACCCCTCGTCCCTCCATCCCGGTCCTCCCGCCTGCCAGGGCTCAAATCCGGCCTTTGTGAGCAGGCGAGCCCGGGGCTCGGGGTCCGGCCTCGCGGTCTTCAACGGCTCGGCAGCTCGTATGATCCTCTGTGGTGACACCACTCGCTCGAATTTTATAGTCGGTCACCAAACACAAAATACACCTGGACTTCAGAATTAAATACGGCGTTGTCATTATTGTTTTTAAAATCTTTAAAATAGATCCAGCCGCTGCTCCGCATCCAGAGAAATTGCAAATGCAGCTCAGTGAAAAGTTTCTGAGATCCAGTGACTCCTCCCCCTGACCAATCAGAGTCCTGCATTCACGTTTGGTCCCGACTCAGATCTGCTGAGCTCGCTCGGTCCCACCAGAGAAGCAGGGACGAAAAGATGTCCTGAATCAGCCTCAAATCAGCTAAATATACTAGCTAAAGGGCTGGTGCAAAAGGGTTCTTTCTGTGGCGGGCTGAGCAGAGTTGGGGCTTATTAGGGGCGGTGCAAAAGGGGCAAAGCTTGTTTGGATTGTGTGTAACAGCTGGGTCAGCACATGCTTCTTTAACATATTAAACAGTACTACAGCATGGTGATAAAAGTCTGGTTTCATTAAAGCTCATCCAGTGGTTCATGAGATGTTTTGCTAACAGACACAGGCAGAGATATTTAGGCTTTTGGCCACAAACATGGATTTTAGAAAATGTTTTAGAAACTTGAACCATGTTTCTATAAAGATATTATCTAAAATATCAAACTGTTCCTCCAATGAGCTGCGTGCTTGTTACTACAAGTTCACCTCGTTTGTTTCACAACCAAACGGCGTGCTTCCTGGACAATTTGTTCCATTACCAGTAAGGAGCTTTTATATGCTGCATTAATCACTGAATTGGACTTTACAACCATATAGTCAAGGTCAGTGACGGCTTCTTTCTGTGAAAATCCCCATTTTGTCATGTTTGGCTAAATCTTAAGGAACAATGATCCCATCTCGCCTGCCCCTCGTTATGTTCCCGGTGGGTAAATGTTAAATGGAACAGACCGAGTCTCTCTTCTGGTACAATGGCAGAATGTGGAGGCTTTTTTTTTTTTTTAATTTTATTTCCAGCGCGCAAGGTTGTTTAAAACATGCACGCTGCTTTCCTATTATAAACAACCGGCAGCTGCCCTTCACTTTGTGAAATGTTCTGGCGTTTAAAAAAATCCACTTCAGGAGATTCAGAGCGAAAATTATGGCCTCTCAAGGTTCCTCTTTTTGAGAGAGTCTTTTACCCCGACGCTCAGGTGCTTCTCTTTGAGCAGCTTTCAATCAAAAGAATTCATTTTCTACCTTGAGGTGCATTCAGTGTTTAATCTGTTCTGAGCGAGTCAGAAACACTGCACTTCTCAGCGACTCTGCGTAATGTGCTTTTGTTACTGACGGATAAAATAAAGATTTAAATAACGTCTGTATGGAAAGGATGAGCTAAAACGGAATCTTCTGGAAACCGATGCACGTTTTTTTTTATTTTATTATATATTTTTAACAACCGTCTTGTTCAGAGTCGATGCAGGCTGCTTTGCAGAAATGATGGCAGTCTTCGGATAAATGCATGTCACATGACTAAATTTTAAACAAAGATTTAATGTCATCTGTTGTCGTTCTGAGTATTTGTATGACTCTCGGCTACTACCACACCAAGTTTTATCTCAGTGTCTCTAAAATTGACTTTTTTTGTTTGTTAAAACTGACATTCAGCTACTTTTTTGCTTTGAAAACATCAGCAATGGCCACACTGGTTGTTTTTGCCAACACTATTTGAAAATTTCTCTTTTTTTAACGTTAGTTCTCCTTTAATTGTCTCTCATTGACATTCAGCTAATTTAATAAACTTATTTTGGTTTCATACTCCCGTCAAAAGGCAGGACGTATTATACAGTAGTATAACTTTGTTCATATGTCCATAAACTTTTTTGTGCTGCCCATAACTTCTGATCCACTAAAGAGAATTTAACAAAACTTGATACACGTTGCGTAATCATTTTATCACCACAGCTTCAAGGTCAAGTCAACAATCAAGGTCAAAGGTTATGTGAGATCTTTGTAGATGAACGTATTGTGTGCCACATGCAATACTTTTATTAATTCTTCTTATTGCAGATATTTTTACCAAACGGTGCTCTCTGCCAAGATGAGTGCAAGACCCACAATTGACATTTATCAGTGCTGAATCTCCAGTGTTACAATCTGCATTTAAATGTAAAAAATAGATATATATCTACTATTTTTGACTTTATGAATCAAAAACATCGTTACTATCATCGACTTAGCTGTTAAGAATGAAAGAGCATCACTACTATTAATTGTGACTGAAACGGCATGAAGAACAGGCTAAAAATAGCCGAAAGAAGCTCACACGAAGGTTCTTTAAATAAACTAGAGATTGCATTTCCTGTGAAAATGCAGTGTGAATGCTTATTGCTAAAGAACTTGTTGAGAAACAGCTGAAATTAGCTAAAAACAACTGCTGAATTGTAGCTGAAATGAAAGAACAAGCCTTAATTGGCAGAAGAAAGCAGAAAGAACACTTTTGTGCTGAATTTGGTTTAAATGAGCAGAAGTCAGCACACATGTTAGGAAATTAGCTAAAAAAAAGCTGAAAGTAGCTGAAAAGTCAGAAAGAAGCTTAAACTGTCAGAAGGAAGTAAAAATAGCTTAAATAAGCTTAACAAGTGTGGAATTAGCTGAAAAGGCTTTTTTGCATTAAAACAGCTAAATAGTAGCTAAAATAGAAGAAAAAGCTGAAACTAGCAGAAAAAAGCTGAAAGGAGCATAACAAGTTGAAATTACCGTGAAGAAGTTAATTAGGTTGAAAGTAGCAAAAATTACCATGAGAAACTTTAACTTATTTGAAAACGGCTGAAGAAAAAAGCAGAAAGAGCACACATTTGCTCAATTAGGCTGAAAGGAGCAGAAATGAGCCCAATAAAGTGAAATTTATCTGGAAAAAGCTGAAGTTACAAAGAAAAAAACTGCTGAAAAGTAGCTAAAAAGGCAGAAAGAAGCTTAAATACCCAGAAGGAAGTAGAGAAAACACATTTTTCCCGAATTAAGCTTAAAAAAGTTTAAATGACTGCAAAAATTGTGGAATTAGCTAAAAATGCTAAAATTGGCATAAAACAGTTGCCATATTTAACGCCGTACCCGTCGCACCGCCCTATAAGTCAAATCAGTTCAAATATGTCTAATAAAGTGGGAAAATTCAGAAATACGTCACTTCGCCGTATACGTTGCATCTATTATGTGTCAACCGCTGACCACCCGGAAATGTAGGCCGAACCTGGAAATGTGGGCAGAACCTGGAAATGTGGGCAGAACCTGGAAATGTGGGCCGGTGTTGTGCCAAAAATCGATTGGCTGCCAAATGGGGACCGCGGGAGTGTGCACGGGAGGACTTTAACAAGAATTTAACAAGATTAACACTTAAAAACAATTAGTTGTTTGCTCATAATTATAGCAAAGGTGTGTTTCAGTTGAACTTTTCCTTAATAAATGCACTTTGACGGTTGAATCAGCTGCATTTTCAAAAGTCAATACGTGGAAACAGGAATGCGCAGAGGGCGACTCGCTGTGCATTTCTTCGAAATTTAACAAGATTAACACCTAAAACAATTATTTGTTTGCTCGACTTTATAGCAAAGGTGTGTCTCAGTTAAACTTTTACTTAATAAATGTACTTTAACGGTCAAATCAGCTGCATTTCATCTGGGTGGCGCAGCACAATTGAGCTGATTTGACGGTTGCTACAGGCAGATGACGGTGGCGGTCTTTGGCAAGCTGATTGTGTCATTAATAACTACTTTTGCCTATTACATGATACAACGGCATGCCTTACAGCTCGACTGCCATCTAGCGGCTGAAAATGGTAGTGTTCTAAATTTTCAGTCAGAATGAATGAAAACAGTCATATCTCAGCCAAAAAAAATGTTTATAAATATGGGAAAAAAAATCCATAAATACGTTGCTTCAACCTACTGTATAAGTCACAGGGAATGAAATAATGCACACACAAAAAACACGACTTATAGGGCGAAAAATACGGTAAAAAGTAGCTGAAATAGCAGAAAAAGCTAAACTTGCTGAAATAAGCTGAAAGGAGCATACAAGCTGAAATTAGCAGAAAGAAGTTGGAAAAAAGTTAAAATTTGCAGAAGGAAGCTGAAAGAAGCTGAAGCAGAACAAAATGTGAAAGGAGCAGTAAAAGGTTGTAAACAGATCTAAAGATCTGAAGGAGGTAAAATGAGCTCAGTTCATTTTCTATGAGAAAAAAAGTGGCAGAAAAGGCTAAATATTTCAAAAAGCTAAAGCTGCACCAATACCTAAAGTCATAGCAAGATTGTCCTGAAAGAGCTGAACGTTTTGATTTATGATTTGTTGAAATAGCTTGAAAACTGCAGGACGAGAAAGATGCCGAAAAACGTACAGAAGATAAATGGATCACAATAGTGTGAATGCTTCATAAGCGTCCATACAATAAAGAAGATATGAATATTAGGAGCAACGTTCTGAGCTGAACAATAGATTTTATTCTGAGTTGCTTGGCACAAGAGGTTGTAATGGGCTGGCCTTTCTAACTGAGAAAATTGTGACAATCTGATAAATCAGGGGCTCATTATAGTTTGAACCAAAGTGTTGGAAAAATTTAAACTGACAAGGATAAAAAATATATTAAAAACCTTTCTTGTGAGAACAAAAAGGTTTGTTTTAAACTGCAGGGTCTAATTCTTTTCTCAGGCCTGGAAAATTTAACCACAATTTATGTGATGGTTATAAATAAACAAAATCTTTAAGTTATTATTGAGCTGTCAGCGTTCGGCTAGAAACAAACTGATCCTTTTCAAGTTTGAGAGTATAGCCACTAAGTAGTGGATTTATGAAAAATATGAAATGTCTTTGCTTCATTTTACCACTTCCCGCTACAGTTTTTTTTTCCTGTTTAGTTTATTTTTTGTGAGGTAAAATAAAAATAAAAAAACTGAATGTGGTCTAACCTTTTGGAGAAAAGAATATAGATTCAGCAGGAATGAAAACAATCTGTTTTGGCTGATTAATAAATTGGTGTTGTGCTAAAATCTACGCCCCTACAATATCTGAGGCCAAGTTTGGAATCCATACACTAATTTTGAAGACTGAGCGCTGTGTCCATTGGATAAGAAGAAATAGTTATCTTTTGAAAAGCAGCAGATAAGTTCAGAACTTTATTATAAACTGTATATTGCACGATTCTGAACAGAACGCCTATTCAGTGATGTCGCTCTTTTCTTTATAGTGGCACCGCACCTCCACCACCCAGGAGACGGACGGGTTCCAGGTGAAGCGACCAGGAGACGTGAGCGTGCGCTGCACTCTGCTGCTGATGCTGGACTACCAGGTGAGGGCGCAGTGCCACCGTGCAACAAACCTCTCAAGTCTCTCAGGAACATGGGCTTCACTCTAAACTAGGCCCAACCCTGGTCCTTGCGGAACACCATCCTGCATGTTTTTATTGCTTCAACACACCTGATTCAGTGATTTGATTACTTCCTCAAGCTCTGCAGGAGCCTGTGAATCACCCATTTATTCAAATCACCAGGGAAGCAACTAAAACATGCAGGATGGCGTTCCTCAAGGACCAGAGTTGGGAACCATTGGCTTACAGAAACATCACAGAGTATTTTAAACTGTGTGAAACCATGTCTGTGATATATGCTGGATGATAAAACAGGGTCTGATGTGGCCAACCATGATGGGATTCTGTTGTCTCCGCAGCCCCCCCAGTTCAAACTGGACCTCCGTCTGGCTCGCCTGCTTGGCATTCACACTCAGACTCGCTCCTGCATCATCCAGGCGCTCTGGCAGTACGTGAAGACCAACAAGCTGCAGGACTCCCATGACAAGGAGTACATCAACTGTGACAAGTACTTCCAACAGGTGCAGGAATCTGGTTGTTACAATACCACCATGAACAGGAGTTTACTGGGAATTATGAACTATTCAGCTTTTAATTTGGTTTGCCTATTTATTGTTGCTTCCAGATGTTTAGTGAAATTTCAGTCATTCGTTTCTCAAAACGTTTGCCTCAGTCAGGAAGTGTGCTGTGACTTTTATTTTTGTAACTTTGATACTTTTTGAATTACTTAGCTTTATTTACTTACATTTTCCCCATGTAAATACCCCAAGCTCTCATCAATTCATTGCTTTTAGCTGTCTTGCTCATTTTATGTATTTATTTTTTAAACGTTATTTATACAGGTAGTCTCATTGAGTCACAAGGACTCATTTTCAAGTGAGACCTGTTTTGGGAGCAGATGGTGGGGTTAAGAGCCTTGCTCAAGGGCCCAGAGTGGGACAAATGTGGGTGCTTCACCTTTCCCACCCACATTTTGATGTTGCCGGTCTGGAAAGTCGAACCTGCGACTTTCCGATCACAGACCCACCTTCTCTAACCTCTGTGCCACCACTCTTCTCCCTTTTAGCTATGGCTTTGCTCATTTTAGCATTTAGCTATGGTTTTACCAGTTTTAGCTTTTAGCTATGGCTTTGCTCATTTTAGCATTTAGCTATGGTTTTGCCTGTTTTAGCTTTTAGCTACAGCTTTGCTTGTTTTAGCATTTAGCTATGGTTTTACCAGTTTCAGCTTTTAGCTACTGTCTTGCTCATTTTAGCATTTAGCAATTGTTTTACCAGTTTTAGCTTTTAGCTATGGCTTTGCTCGTTTTAGTATGTAGCTATGGTTTTGCCAGTTTTAGCTTTTAGCTACAGCTTTGTTTGTTTTAGCATTTAGCTATGGTTTTAGCAGTTTTAGCTTTTAGCTACTGTCTTGCTCATTTTAGCATTTAGCAGTGGTTTTACCAGTTTTAGATTTTAGCTATGGCTTTGCTCATTTTAGCATGTAGCTATGGTTTTGCCAGTTTTAGCTTTTAGCTACAGCTTTGCTCGTTTTAGCATTTAGCTATGGTTTTGCCAGTTTTAGCTTTTAGCCACTGTCTTGCTCCTTTTAGCATTGAGCCATGGTTTTACCAGTTAGCTTTTAGCTACGGCTTTGCTCAAAGAAAAGGTTTGACACGTTTTTCAACTCAACAAGGTAATTTAAAACGAGCTAAAGTGAAAATCTGAAAATTCCCATCCAAAGTATCTGTAAAGGTTCTGTTTCTTATAAAACTATCTCAAACCATATTTTGCATGTTTCACTTCAGCCTGTGAGCTGAACTGACCTGAAGTCCAGCAACAACATCCTGAACGACTCAGAATCCAAACCAGAATGTTTAAAAGCAAATGTCTCACAGAAAATGAAAACTATGACGACTTTTTGTGATTTTGTGCAACTCTTCTCTGAATCTCCAGTCTTCACTCTTTTGATCACATAAATCTTAAATTACATAAACTCCAGGTTTTTATGGCCACATTTGCTATTCAAACAAAAGGCTGAATATTTTCACTCAGCCACTCATATATTGTCATTTTAATTTAATATAGGGTGTAAATGATCATCCAAGCATTGTATTATGGTTTGTATTTACATTTTACTAACAAAGGTAATTCTCTCCCATGACACCAATCAACAATCCTTCACTTTTAGCTGGTTTTGAATTAGCATTTAGTGTTTGTACCTTAAAGGTTAATTTCTAAAAGTAATTTTTTCCACTTTAAAACAGATTTTTGACTGCCCTCGCCTGAAGTTCTCTGAGATCCCTCAGCGCCTCACTAACCTCCTCCTGCCGCCTGACCCCATCGTCATTAACCACGTCATCAGGTAAATCCTCCCCCTTTGGCTGCAGAGATGCTGAGTCTCTAATTAAAACGATTTCATGAAAGCTTCTTTCTAATCCCTTTTGCTTTGCTTTGCTTTTCCGTCCAGCGTGGACCCCAACGATCAGAAGAAGACGGCGTGCTACGACATCGACGTGGAGGTTGAAGACCCCCTGAAGAGCCAGATGAGCAGCTTCCTCCTCTCCACCGCCAACCAGCAGGAAATCGCCTCGCTCGACAACAAGGTGAGATCGTCTCTGAGTGTCACGTCCACAAAGTGTCACGTCCGTAAAATGTCCCACAGAGGAGATGAAACATGAGATCAATGGAGTTTACAGTGGTCCTTTGACACCCCCACAATAAGTGAAAAACCACCAAGTAGAAACGTTATATTTATTTTACTATTTATATATTGTAAGGCTTTATAAACCGTTCCCACACTCTTACAATGTTCTAAACTCTTAAACCTACGTAATTTTAACAACATACTTATATGTACTGTACAGTACTTCAAAATGTTATATGGTACTAAACAGCTGGAAGTCCGGTTCTGGTCCAGTTCTGATTGGCTCCTTGCAGCTGTTGAGCACCAGACACTTTTGGAAAGAGCCGGACCTTTGGAGAGCCAGCACAAAACGACACGAGCCGACAAGCTGCTCTCGGATTGACCGAGTCTGGAAGTCCGGTTCTGGTCCAATTCCTGGTCGCTTCTGATCGGCGCTCTGCATCCACATAGCGCCGACGTCACTATAAATATGGACCAAATTTTTTGGATTGGATCAAAACTTTCCCGCCATTTCAGCAGAAAGCAACGGCTGGAAGCACTGTTGCTTCTGGGTAATGTAGTTTTTTTGACTGGCGATACAGTGTAGGCTTATTGAGAGAAAACTACAAAATGGCGGCGCCTGTCTGAAGTATTTTATTTTTTCGTTAACTTTTTACTGTCCCAATCACGTGAGTAATATTAAAGTTGACAATCGTGTGTTGGGTAAAATTTTATTTTTCTGTCATGTCCAATTTTACTTTGACAATCCGTAAAAAAACGAGTCCACAAAAGTGGAACTGCGAAGTAATGAGGGACTACTGTATTGTGGATTATTTAATGACAAAGCTGCTTTTCTGCTGCTCTTCACTGATGTATGTTGAAGATTTTAATGTTTGACAAATGTTCTTTTACTTCTAAATTTTTTTATAACTTTATGTTATATAAATTTAATCTAAATGTAAAATCGTGTCTGTAGCTATCGTTTGAGCTTCTCCCAGGAATTAAGGCCTTCTAGATATTTTTCCTTCATAACAAGGCGCTTTTTAAAAATTTTATTAGTTTAAGTCTTTTACTTTAGGTTCCTCCATGAGAAAAGTAATTCTAAATTAATAAAAGTTTCCAGAAAGTTAGAAATGAGACTGAGATTAAAACCTAAAGTTAATAATTGATTGTTTGACGATCGGTCTGGCCTAAAACACAAATTCAAACAGCCACACATCTGTAGAAAATGTTTATTATGAACAGATTTTAACTCCTTTGCTGCTAACATTTAAAAAAAATCTCTGCTGCGTTTCTCAAAAAATAAATTGTTTATTAAAAGCACATGAATTGTTCTTTGTAACACATTTTACAGACTGATAAATAAGTGGAAGGGACCACAAGGTCTGCAGTACTGATAAACTACAAAGCTTTTTCTGTAATTTTTTGTTTTAATTAGTCTTTTATTAATCAGATTTCTTGGTTTCTTAGTGTTACGGTTTATCTTTCACCTTTTCTGTCAAGCTTCAGACTTATTGTTAACATTTACGTCATTTTTCTTGTTTTATTTTGAAAACTTGGCTCTTCTCATGTGAAACTAACATCATCAGTCACTCAGTGAAGTCAGGTTTGTTTCTACAGTACGTTTACAAAAAACAACAGCAACATATTAAATATCTAATAACTCCTTATGTTCTGCATGGTCTTTAACTTTTGGACAAACCATAGATGTGTTTGAAAACAGACGTTTAATGAGGAAGTTCTGCTTTTGTTCATGCAGTAGATGTTCTGTTTCATGTCACGTTCTGTATTTACCTCCTGCTCTTAAACTCCTCCTCAGGACAGAAGAGTTTTTAGGAACATAACGAGTCCCGTGACGGGACCTGGAGACCTTCATGTGTTTCCTACATGAGCTCTCTCCTACACACTCCGTCACCAGCGGAGGTTTTAATTAGATGTCTGGATTTTTCCCCAGATCCACGAGACCATCGAGTCCATCAACCAGCTGAAGATCCAGCGGGACTTCATGCTCAGCTTCTCCAGAGATCCCAAAGGCTACATCCAGGACTGGCTCAAATCCCAGAGCCGAGACCTCAAGGTTTAATAACTTCTCACACACACACTGTAGTAGCTCCTCTTGTATGTTTCATGTTGGGTGCAGAAGGATGGATTTCAGGTTGTGTCGTGCTCTGAATCTGTTTTTGAGGCGACTCTCAGCTACTGTCACACTAAGGCCCGTTTTTTGAGTGAAACCTCAGCCTTTCTGCTGCGGTTCAGCCGTTCGTTTACACGACAACAGCCCTCGTTCTCTCTACCGAAGGTCTCAGAGTGGAGATTTTCGAGGTAACCCCCCAGCGGAGGTGTAAAATGCTCCGCAAGTGTGAAGTCGCACATGCACGCTACAGGCAGCTGCAGTCCAAAGTTTTTCTGCACTAACAACAGTTATAATAAATGGCAGAGAGCAGAGTGTTTTTGTGCTACACACTCTTTTTCAGCATGTAGGAGCAAAACGAATAAAAACCAGGCTCCAAAGAGACGTCAGTGTATTCACCAGTTTGGGCGTAACTGTGATCATTCAGACACTGCGTGCACAATGAGGGCGCAATGAATTAGAGCTGTCATTTCTGACTCGGGCCTAAAATTTGGGCTGGGTCGGGCCAAAATAATGTGCTTAATGGGCGGGCCGGGTCGGTGTCGGGCTTTAGATTGCATCAGCGGATGCGCGCGGCCGATGATCCAATGCTGTTTGACTGCGTGCTGGCCTGCCGGTTGAAAGAGGTAAAAAAAAAAAGTTAAATTAAGCTTCAGATGGATCACTGCCAGCGAACCATCCGAAGTCCAACTGGACTCAGCCGCTGTGTCAGCAGACGCGCGCAGCCGACGACCCAATTTGATCATCAGCCGTGCGCATCCGCCGACTGTTAATAACTATAATAACTTTGATATTATAGTAACTATAATAATCCACTGACTCTTGTTAATAAAAAAGAGTTTTTATATCTTCCTTTCTTTGAAATAAGTTTTTAAATCATGTCAAACTGATTTGCTTACAAATGCAGTAAAAGCTTAATTAAAAAAATGTCTGTTTTTTTTTTTTTGTGTGTGTTTTTTTTTTCTGGTTCAAGCCTCTAATTACAGTTAATTGGTCGGTTTCAGGCTGGACCCGATTTTTTTTAGGCCCAAATGTTCATAATCAGGTCTTTTGTAAATGAGTCCCTGAGGCTCATTGGGATTAACCTGTATAAATAAAGGTTGGGGGGAAAAAAGGGGGAAAAAACTACAATGAATGCAGCTGAGCCAGGTTTGGGTTGCCAGATAAATTTAAAATGTCTTATTTATTACCCCCTCCTTTTCTGTGTACATGTTCGATAAACACAACACACACCTCGTCTTAGATTATCTTTACTCAGCACATTTGACAGTTTAGATCAAAATACTATCATTTTAAAGTGACAGTACTATAGTTCATAATTTCTTATCTGGCAACCTGACTGACAGCATTTTTCATGTAAACCCTTTCTTTCTTCTTTTTTTTTTTTTTTTTTTGTTTATTACCACCAAAGTTTCCAGAGGTTGTTCTTGTGTAAACGGGGCCTAATTTTTAGCTCAATATCTCCTAAGCTAACAGAGTCGTAGCCATTGTTCTGTTTGCTAAGGATGATTGGCTGCAGGTGCCATCTTGAATCAGACTCCAAAAGTTAATCAGTTGTCCATCCAACGGTTTCTTTCTGTGAGTTTTGTTCCAATCCATCCTCGTTCGTGAGATGTTTGCTGACTCTGCAGACGCAGGCAACATTAGATAAATGTTTTGTCAGTTTTTGATCAACACAACCAGTGACTGACTCTCATCTTCTGCAGCTGATGACGGATGTCGTGGGGAACCCAGAGGAGGAGAGGAGGGCAGCGTTTTACCATGAACCCTGGTCCCAAGAGGCTGTGAGCCGTTATTTCTACTGCAAGGTGAACAACCGTACCTCGTCCGTCTTTTATAAAACTCTCTGCTTCTCCTTCTGTCACTATATTCATCGTTTTGCTTCTCCTCACAGATCCAGCAAAGGAGGCAGGAGCTGGAACAGGCCTTAGCGGTCCGCAACACTTAAGTTTCAGTTTCTGCGCCTTGTTTTCAGAGCGATTTGTGTGTGAGGTCATCGCTGAAACGCTGACTCTGTAATGAAACTACAAGAAGTCTTGGTTCTGTTTACCACCAGTGTTTTCAAGTGAAATGAACTGAGAAGGTTGATCTGAAGGCGCTTCGTCCATCGTGTGAAGGAGACGTCGTCGTTAACGGCGCTGTCGCCTCTCGGCTGCTCTGCTGTTTGTAAATATAATCCTAAAAGAAAAAGAAGAGAAACCTCCACACCCAGCGTCATCTCACACACATCTGAGGTTCTGGACACTCGCACATTGTTTTTTATGAAGTAACATCCAGCGTCGCATTTTACGTTCTTAGTTTTTTTTACTGTTTGTGGTTCGATTATTTTTATTTTTAAGTATCTGCGTGTTTTAAACTAGTTCTTATTATTAACTTGTGTTTGAAGGGTTCAAGTAATTACACCAGCAAAGCTCAGATTACATCGGTTGGCTGCAGATTATAAACCAGATGTTTCATTTATGGTTAAGAGGTTAACAAAATAACATCCATTGTGTTTAACAGGAAAAAAAATGAACTTCTGAACTGCAGTGTTTTAACTTTAACAGTGTTTAGAGCTGATAAAGAGTATTAACGACCACGATTTATGTTTTTTAGTCGCGTTACAGACGTAGATGCGTCTCGACTGACTCTTGTTGCTCACTTCCTTTTTCTTGTGTGATCTTTTAGCGAGTTAATGTTCTGAAGGTGTTACCAAAGGCAAAAAGAACAAAAAAAAAGGTGGACAAATATACAGATCTGGGCTCAAATCCTTTTCATAACTTATAAAATGATGTTTCAGCAAACATTTAAGTCCAAGTCTGAGATTTTGTCCATTTTTTTAAGCTTTTTTTTTACGTTACGCACACAAATGAGATAAACTAAGGGTTCTTTTCTAGAGATGTGAATGTAAATATGTTTTTGTCTCTTTAAGAAGGCCAGCTGTACAGTACAGGACACTCGGTTTGGGGTTTTTAAGGGAAGAGGGGGTAAATGTTGCAGTTTTGAATCAGTAGGGCAGGAATGTTAGTGTTCCTCTGTGTCTTGGCTTTTGGCTGGTTTATTTTAGCTCCATCCTGCATCTGTCGTGGGAGCTGCAACAAACAGCGACCTCCCTCATCCTCAGTCTGAGTGGCTGTAACAGAAGATAATATGCACCAGTCCCATCTGTATGTATATGTTGTACTGTCACATGGAGGTTTTTTATTTTTTCAAAACCGGAAACCTTTTGAGGTTTCTTTGCACTGTGCTGCAACTCTGTCGGGACTCTTCGTCTTTTTTTGTTCCTACACAAAAAGTGATTTCACGATGACCTATGCATGCTCCATGAATATGGATTAATTCATCTGATCAGACAGTGTGTGTAAATATATATATAAAAAAAGACAGGCATTACCGTCGAGGGCAGGACTCGACACATTTGTTAAAATGCTTTTAGGAAACTTTTTTTTTTTGCCAAAAATGATGCACCCTACCAGCAGCTAACTGTAGGAGTGACTTTTCAGAGCTGTGTTTTTGTTACCAGGATTAATAACTGCACTCTGTAGGTGAGAAACAGTAGACATAGGTAGTATCTTGATTCTGCGCATGGCCAGGACGTTCATGTTGTCACTGAATCAATAGCACCCTCTGCTGGAGGAAACTGGTACTGCAGCTCAGCTTGGAGCTTCAGATTCTCCCGTTTCTGACATTCTGTTTGTCTCAATCCTGCATGTGTTTCTGAAGAGTGGGAGCTTCTCTCCCTCTGTTTACATTGAGGGTCGCCTACAGGATAAAACTGTAAACGTATGAAGGGTTCGGTGATGAAGGCTGACGAAAAATGATGATAAACTGAGGAAGGAGCTGTGACTTTGTGAGACAGCCTGGATGTGAATAAAGAAGCACTTGCCAAAGTTTGTAAATGCCACAACATGTAAAGTGTCTTTTTTTTTTCTTATCTTGTTTTTATTAAACTATATATATATATATATATTTGTTTTTGGTTCTTGAAGGGGTTCCTGAAACATTAAGGTGGGGGTCTTGAAAGGATTTACAGAAATAAAAGTATTTTAAAAATTACTACTAACAACATAAGTAACCTGTGCTGGCAAAATAAGGACTCTTAATACTGAGTCACTTTTTTTATGTTTTGTCTCAAATACTTAAAAATGACACGTAGTTTGTGGAAATTTGTTGACTTATCACCTGGCCTGACAAGTTATTTTGTTTTAGTTTTAAAACTGGATTTTTATTTGTTTGGAATAAATTCCAGCTGTACATTCTCGAGTTTCACATTGAATCATATGAAGGGATTTCTAAGCCTGTCGGAATAAACAAATTAATTAATAGCATGATAAATGAAAATTATCAACCTCGTTTTCATTTATCGGCTTTATAATTTCTTCGTGTCTCTCTCTTTCTACTGAAGACACTGGATGACAAAAGGCTCATTTTCGGTGCTCTTCACTGACCCCTCCCTTTCTCTTTAAAATCTGTTTTAACGATCCAAAGTTGTGTTTTTGGATCGTTAAAAGCAGCTAAGCTAACAGGCCGACCTCAGAAAAAACCTCCGTCTTGTCAAAGCTCCAAAATTCCCAGTTGAAACCCGTGCTTTTGTGTAAAAAGTTATTTTTCTTTGCAAAAAAAAAAAAAAGCTGAGAACTTGTTTACTGATTTTTTATTAAAAGCTTTGTATGAAAAATGCTATGCTAAAGAGCTCAAACCACACGGAGCGTCCGCTATTTTGAGAACTGAAAAAAGATTGAGACAGCCCATGTCACATCAAGGGGCCTCCCTCCTTCTTAAAGCTGCTCGCTCCCTCACTATCCATCCTTCAGTTCAAACAGTCTTATGCTGACATCCAGTGGCCAAAAAAGGTACTACACACAAAAATTAACCAACATTTCTGCTTATATTTGACAAAAATGACTAATTGTTAAATTTCAAACAATATTATCATTTATAATTTCTGAGACAATCGCCCAGCAAAATTTGTTATCGTGACAGGCCTAGGGATTCCCCAGTGCTATAGCATTTGGCAAACAAAAAACGTCAATTTCAAAGAATTTTACAAGTTATAGGATAAATGGGTGTTTCTAAAGGTGTATGAAACAAAGTTAGTTTTAGAATTGCACCGCTCAAGGTGGCTGCATGTTGAGATTTTGCTTTTGAAAACTTTAATTACTCTTTTTTTATCTGGATGTAAATCACTTTTTTGGATGATTATTTCCTCTGGTATCAGATCCTGTGCAGCTGGAAGGATTTTTACTGAAACCTTTTTAACTTTTGGAAATTTGTTCTGATGAGTAACCATAACAGTAAGGTGGTTTTGTACAACTGGGAGCAGCTGATTAACATCTCAAAGCTGAAATAATACCTCAACTACAGCCCAAAATCCTAAATGAGTTGAAAACGTGGTGCTGTGGACGCATTCCCGTCTACCTAGAGGCGGTGCTCAAGTGCCTGATCGCCGAAATCTTGGGAGGTGGCGGGAAATGTGGCTCGTGACAGCGGGAGGACCAAGATCGACCCCCAGCACCTGCTGTTTTGTCTGACAAGGAGCTCAGCAAGCTGCTGGGAGGAATAGCCAACGCTTGCGGGGGGCGTAGTTCTGCCCAGTATTCAGGCAGTCCTGCTGCCCAAGAGGACCGAGAGGTCTGCTGAGTCTGGATGGACGGATTGGCATCTGCAGCCAGTTTCTTCAGATCTGCTACAAGAGATCCTTCCTGCCCACAGACATCAGCATCTAGAACTCTAATGAAACCAGGATGAGCTACAATTAATTTTCCTTTGGGATTAATAAAGTGTTTTTGAACTGAATTGGTTAGAAAACTTTTAAATTTAGATAAGAACGACCGATGGTGTTTTAATGGACTCATTTTTATGCAAACCTCCTGCACGGCTCACGCATTTGTTCCAGTTGTACCAGAAAGAGACCATAAACCATATTACAGCTCAACATGAAGTATGGAGAATGACTGAGTTCATTAAGGTCACTGACTTTTCTCAGAGAGCACCTTTTCTGGTTTCTGCTGCGTCATAAAAACGCCTGCACAGCCTCACAGCGAGTGAGCGCTCGTTCTGCGTTAGCACAATGTTGACTTTGAGCCGTCACATTTCCTGCCCGAGCCAGGCGTTCTTCGAAAGGCAGCAGACAGACACATTATTGTCCTCTGGCTTCGCCACAGAGAAGCAGGTGGAGGCCCCGGTTTGCACCGTGGGCCTTCACCTCCCCACACTTTTGAGCCCACAGCCCCTCGCACGGAGGTGCTCTGTGGGCGAGCGTGAAGCGAAGCATTCAGCCGCCTCACCGTCAGGCTGCACGGACACGACCTGTCGTCTGGATGCTGCTCGTGTTTTTCATCCCACGGGAACGTGCGCAGAGCGCTGGCCAAAAAGCTCAGGGAGGCCCTGGTAGGGGGTGGAGATTTACTGACTTAATGCACGGAGGATGAGGCGGGGCTGCTGAGGAACAAACTGTTCACTGCCTCCAGGCCCTGCAGCAGCTTCTGCACCGAGCAGCGGGGTGGAGTTAAATCTGAGCACGCCGTCCTGACTCTTAACACGGCCGTAACGCACTCCCCCAGGATCAATCAGGTCCTGCCAAACAAACATCCACACACTGAACAAACAAACGATCTTTAATACGTCTTAGAAAAGAACATTTCTTAAAGAAAAGGCAGCTTGTTTTCAGCATTTTTGACATCTTCACACCAGAAGACAAATGGCTCAAGTATTTTTTATAATATTTAACACTGAAGGCATTTGTTCATGTATTACACTGAAATCTTAAAAATGACAATATAAATACTGCCTCACACTTTGTGAGAAAATGGGAGTACATAACATCCTCGTTGAAGGTTATAAATTAATAAGTTCCTATAAGAAGCTGCAGGAGGCGAGTCGTCGGCTCTGCTCGAGGAGTTGGTTTTTGGTTGACTCCGACGCTGTTCCACCGTGTTGAAGCTGCTTCTTCAGAATCGTCCCGTCAGACCGTTTTACGTGCTGTTGGCCTGTTCCTGCTCAAACAGAGCCATGGCTAGATGCGATCGAGACCCCAGACTTTCCAGGTTGCTGAGGACGCAGCGGTGGTAGATGTCCTCGCTGAAGCGTGGGTTGCAAGCTCGCCGCACGTATTTCTGGACCAGCGCCGGCTCCACCGCTCTGAACACGTGCAGGCCCGAGTAACGCACGAAGATGTCGTACACGTCCATGCTCTCCAGCAGCTCCTCGTTGTCCAGGATGTCCGCGGCCATCTTCGTGCGGGCGCTCATGTAGTCCGTATTGTAGAAGCAAGCCTCGTCGAAGACGTGGCGGTCAAAGTGGCCATCTCGAAGCGAATCCGAGGCGAAGGAGGAGGCCGAGGGCTGCTGGTCGCGGTACATGACGGCAGGATTGTACTCCTGGAAGTGGACGGGGAAGAACACCTGCCAGTTGCTGATGGCATTCATCCTGCAGCGGTTCAGGAAGTCCGAGTTGACCTCGGTCCAAACGCTCGCCAGGAAGAACAGCGTGTCGACGGGGTGCTTCTTAGAGATGATGTCCATCAGCTTGACCTGCGAAGGCACCTCCGTCTTTACGCTAATCCAAGGGATCTTCACGTCGCCATAGCGTTTCTCCACCTCCCCGATCATGGACTTGACGCCGGCGAACACGTCCGTCTGGCTAACTCTTTGTGCTTCGAAGGGATCGTAAATGAACAAGAACGTCAGCAACACGTTATCGTGGGTGTCCAACATGTTCATCACGTACATGTCGAGGAAGTTGCCAACGAAGTCCTGGTCCTGGGCTGTGATGGGCAGGATGACCTGCACCCGTGTCGCCTCCGTCACGTAAGGCATAGGGATGATCTCAACGGTGCTAAGGGGTCGCAGCAGGTTGACCCGTTTGGCGATGATCTGGCTGTGGCCTTTCTGGGTGAAGGCCTCCAGCGCCAAGTCCAGAATGTACTCCATGCCGCGGGTGGGATCGAAGCGCCGGTACCCGTTGAGCAGACGCCGCTTGCGGAAGCGGAGCTGCGGCTGGTAGTGCTCGTTGAGGCGCTCCACGGCGACCTCTAGTATCGCGCTGACGTCGGCTCGGTCGGCGCCTCTCATCTCGCACTTGGGCGAGCCGTCGGCGCAGGTGTAAACGTGCTCCTCTGTGAAGTAATCCCAGTTTATGACCTCAAAACGAGTCTTGGGTTTGAAGGGGGGGGTTATTCCAATCGGCCACGTGACCCCAGCTTTCCCCTCCGGCGTCAGGTCGCTCAAATTACTGATCTGCATCTGATGAATAGATCAAAACAGAAGCTGTAAATGACAGTACGTTGTATTTGAAGTTAAAACACGTCTAATAAAGTGTCATTAACAAACAGTAAGTGTACCGTATTATCTGGCGTATAAGTCCCAGGTTTTTTGTTTTTGCATAGATTTGCCAGTCCTGCGACTTATATGCCGACACGACTTATACATATGTGGTGCACAGATAAATCGGCCCCGATTTCCATAATTTTGGGAAATCGGCCAATACTTGCATGAGAAACTGATTTTACAGATTTTTTTTTGTTTTAACAACAATTGTCTAAACTTAATTTATATTCATGGCCAGTTAAAACCAGTTTGTATTGTTTCTAGGATATTGTTCAAGGGTATACGTTTCAATAATATTGAAAAATTGAAGGTGCATTGTGACCCAACACCTGACAGTGTTGCTTATAAAACAAAATCCGTATCGGCCAAAATTGGAACCGGCAGAACAGACTTTTTAGAGATCGGTGATCGGTGATCATACAGAAAACTGCAATCGGTGCACCCCCAATATGTTAAAGTTTTCCATATTCATAACAAAATTTTTGACTGACACGTTACATGTTCATTCATACTGACATGAACCAGAGTAAACATTACCATTTACAGCCGTTAGAGGTGCAAAAGGGCTCTCTAGGCTTTGACAACTACCGTTAGGCATAAATGTTGTTCTTGTACCTAGGGATGCACGATATTATCGGCATGGTATCGGTATCGGGCAATATTAGCGATAAAGTTAAATATCAGACATCGGCCATTCCATAAAAATAACTCACCGATATAAAAGGCACTATTTTTTTTTTTTTATAGATTATATATTTATATAGTGTTACATAATTTTAAGCCCCCTTTTTGGCATCTGCATTTGGCAGCAGGCCAAATTCATTCATTCATTCAACATTTATTTATACAGGTTAATCCCATTGAGCCTCAGGGACTCATTTACAAGAGAGACCTAAAAAAAAGACCAGAAAAAAAAAAAAGACAAAGACCATGTTGAATAATGTAGTATTTTAATTCCACAGCAGAGAAAGCTATGTAGTCTCTGTAAGTAGGTCTAGGAGAAATATCTGTAATGGTTACCAGCCAAATAAGTTTTAACATATCGGCGTATCAGATATCTGCCAAAAATCCAATATTGTGCATCCCTACCTGTACCGTTGCTGCCCATCCCACCCCCAAAAAGTGCATTTATGAAGGAAAAAGTTAAACTGAGACACAGCTTTGCTATAACGTCAAACAAACAAATAATTGTTTTTAATTAAGTATTAATTATTACATTTCGAAGAACTGCAACTGTGAGTCCTCCCGTCAGTTGATTTTTGGCACAACACCGGCTCACATTTCCCGGGGGTCAGCAGTAACATAATAGATGCGACTTGTACGCTGGAAAATACGGTATATGAAAGCTTCGTAGGTAGGCCTGTCACGATAAATTTTGCTGTCTCAAAAATTATTGTGATAAACAATAATATTGTTTGAAATTTGACAATAATTAGAAATTGTCAAATTTAATAGGAAATGTTGGTTGATTTTCGTGTGGTGTACCTTTTTTGACCACTGGATGGCAGTATAAGACTGTCTGAACCAAAGGATGGATAGAGAGGGAGAGAGCAGTGTGTCTCTTTAAGAAAAATGGGAGGGAGGCCCCTTGACGTGACATGGGCTGTCTCTCCTTCCTGTTTTTCGGTTCTCAAAATGGCGGACGCTCAGTGTGGTTTGAGCTCTTAAGCATAGCATTTTTCACACAAAGCTTTTAATTAAAAAATCTGTAAACAAGTTCTCAGCTTCTTTTTGTAGAGAAAAACAACTTTTTACACGAAGGCACGGGTTTCAACTGAATTTTGGAGCTTCAACAAGCCGGAGGTTTTTTCCCTGAGGTCGGCTTGTTAGCTTAGCTGCTTTTAACGATCCAAAAACGCTATTTTGGATCATTAAAATGGATTTTTAAAGAGAAAGGGAGGGGTCAGTGAAGAGCACCGGAGTTGAGCTTTTTGTCATCCAGTGTCTTCAGTAGAAAGAGAGACGAAGAAACGATAAAGCTGATAAATGAAAAAGAGGTTGATAATTTTAATTTATCATGCGATTAATTGATTTATTGTTTATTGCGACAGGCCTATTCGTAGGCAGATCATAGTGAGAATTAGATGACTGAACTGAAGCCCTTCATGTCTCAACAGAACACCCATTCGTCTGGAATTTCTGGTGTGTGAATTGCTCGGGGTGTGGTAACAGACAAACTGCACATTTTTACACCTAAAATCAAATATAAAGGAAATCATAGACAAGATTAAATATGATAAATACAAACCGGATTCCAAAAAAGTTGGGACACTAAACAAATTGTGAATAAAAACTGAATGCAATGATGTGGAGATGGCAAATGTCAATATTTTATTTGTAATATAACATAGATGACTGATCAAAAGTTTAATCTGAGTAAATGTAACATTTTAAAGGAAAAATATGTTGATTCAAAATTTCACAGTGTCAACAAATCCCAAAAAAGTTGGGACAAGTAGCAATACGTGGCTGGAAAAAGGAAATTGAGCGTATAATGAACAGCTGGAAGACCAATTAACACTATTTAGGTCAATTGACAACATGATTGGGTATAAAAAGAGCTTCTCAGAGTGTCAGTGTCTCTCAGAAGCCAAGATGGTAAGAGGATCACCAATTCCACCATTGTTGCGCAGAAAGATGGTGCAGCAATACCAGAATGGTGTTACCCAGCATAAAATAGCAAAGACTTTTAAGTTATCATCAACCGTGCATAACATCATCAAAAGATTCAGAGAATCTGGAACAATCGCTGTGCGTAAGGGTCAAGGCCATAAAACTCTACTGGATGCTCGTGATCTCCGGGCCCTTAAACGTCACTGCACCTCAAACAGGAATGCCACTGTCAAGTAAATAACAGAATGGGCTCAGGAATACTTCCAGAAAGCATTGTCAGTGAACACAATCCACCGTGCCATCCGCCGTTGCCAGCTGAAACTCTACAGTGCAAAGAGGAAGCCATTTCTAAGCAAGCTCCAGAAACTCAGATGTTTGCACTGGGCCAGGGGTCATTTAAAATGGAGTGCGGCAAAATGGAAGACTGTTCTGTGGTCAGATGAGTCACGATTTGAAGTTCTTTATGGAACACTGGGACGTCATGTCATCCAGACCAGAGAGGACAAGGATAGCCCAAGTTGTTATCAACGATCTGTTTAGAAGCCTGCATCACTGATGGTATGGGGTTGCATGAGCGCTTGTGGCATGGGCAGCTTGCATGTCTGGAAAGGCACCATTAATGCAGAGAACTATGTTCAGGTTCTAGAACAACATATGCTCCCATCTAGACGTCATCTCTTTCAGGGAAGACCCTGCATTTTTCAACACGATAATGCCAGACCACATTCTGCAGCAATCACAACATCATGGCTACGTAGGAGAAGGATCCGGGTACTGAAATGGCCAGCCTGCAGTCCAGATCTTTCACCTATAGAGAACATTTGGTGCATCATAAAGAGGAAGGTGCAACAAAGAAGGCCCAAGACGATTGAACAGTTAGAGGCCTGTATTAGACATGAATGGGAGAGCATTCCTATTTCTAAACTTGAGAAACTGGTCTCCTCTGTCCCCAGACGTCTGTTGAGTGTTGTAAGAAGAAGGGGGGATGCCACACGGTGGTAAAAATGGACTTGTCCCAACTTTTTGGGATTTGTTGACGCCATGAAATTTGGAAACAACAGATTTTTCCCTTCAAATGATACATTCTCTCAGTTTAAACTTTTGATCTGTGATTTGTGTTCTATTCTGAATAAAATATTAGATGTTGACACCTCCACATCATTGCATTCAGTTTTTTATTCACAATTTGTTTAGTGTCCCAACTTTTTTGGAATCCGGTTTGTAAATAAAAAAAAGTGTCACAAACCTGCAGCTGCTGAATCTGCTGATAAGTCCATTCGAGCTCAATGTGGTTGAAGCGTTTGTGCAGGCGATACATGAGATTTGGGTCGGACACGGGATGAACCGTGAAGGTGTTTTTAAACTCGACGCTGTCTTCGCGCTCCGGATCGGCGTTCTTCCCGAGCTCAAAGTAACGGTACGTCATCCCCTGTGAGTCACGTAAACAAAAATTATTACGTTAATCAGAGAAACTGGAATTCATCGTTTTAGATTTATGTCCTGTTTTGACGTATTTGCCGTTACCTGGTGCACCTCTACGCAGCTCAGACCCAGGAAGTCGATGATGCAGCGGCCCAGCCACTCGTCGGGTCTCACGCTGAGGATGTCGTTGCGGCAGGTGTCGAGGTGCGGCTGCAGACGGGCCAGCAGGCTGCGGGAAAGCAGGTAGCCATACCCCCCGTGGCAGTAGCGTGCCTTCTCCTCTCCTCCGATGAACTCCTCAGCCCTGCCCATGTACAGGTCCTGACCTGCACTGAGGTGGCTCACCAGCTCTGAAAGATGATCCGCCTGCATGTAAGTGTCGTCCTGGGCCAACAGGAACCAGTCGTAGTCCGAGCCGTAGTGCTGATGCAGGTGGCGCACCGTCTCGTACATCAGCCACACCGGCCGGTCGTCGCCGTGTGCAATCACCGTCATGCCGTGAGGCACTTTGGGGCTGCGTAGCCCCGTGAAGAAGAAGGTGCGGTGGAATCGGTGGGCAGCTGTTCGGTTCACCGCCACGGCGAGCGTGTTGAGGGTGGCCCGAGAGGTCAGAACGCCGACCAGCAGTCGCTCTCTGATGCCCAGCTCGGTGTGGATGTATCTGGTTCTGGACAAGAAACCAGAAAGTGAACAACAAAACACAAACTGCACAGTCGACAACGTTTGTTTAAGTCAGTAATGAAGATGAAAACTACACACGCTCACCTGAGGACTTTTTTGTGGGGCTTGTTCGGGTCCTTGTGATAAGGTACAATCCGTGGCTGGAAGTCCTCCTCTCCAGCTCCACCTCTTCCGCCCCTCTGAGCATCTCCTCTGCCCAGAAAGAGCCTGCCCGGGGTCAGCTCGTCTCTGCAGGGGTCATCCGTGTCCCCTTGTGTCCAGGACACCATTAAAAGGCTGAGACTACATCCCAGAGACAGCCCCAGGATCAGGGGTAAAGCCGGCCTGAACAAGGCCAAAAATGATGACAGACGCATCTTTGGCTGTTAAGAGCTAAACTTTAAGACCCAAATAGCTAAAACTGCAGCGCTTAGGGGCCAAGTGTGCACATTTGAACCAGCTGAACTAGAGGAAGTACATAAATTTGCATTAATAAAGGCGTAGTAACTATAAAGCTACCGGTGTAAAACTTTGTGCTCTTGAAAAAATGCAGAAATGCAAAAAGCTTGGCATTGTTACCGACTTTGCTGGCTTCAGCTGGTTTGGTTGATTATTAATTTATTAAATACACCGCGACGTGAAGACTGCGTGCTCATCTGGTGCTAATTACCTGCACTCTTTTTGGCTAAAAGCAACTAAATAAAAGTCAGCTAACCATTGTAGCTGTGAATACCGTCACCTTTTAAAGTTGACTGCGTTTAATCCCGCGAGGCAGCGTTTACAAAAAGCAGCGCTCCGAAGTTTACACGTCGCATCTGAACGGTTTATCCTCCGCGGCGTCTCGAAGGATTCAAGCTACAAACATCAAAGGGCGAGCTAGCGAGCTAGCATCGCGTCCGTTTAGTGCCGACGCGACGATCCTCATCCTCGAACACAAAGAGGAAGATGCCATTTTTAATCATTTGTCCAGGTACACCGCGTTTAGGTGGAGCCATATGCACGTCCTCCAGTCTTGTCAGTTCTTTGACTTCCTGAAAAATTGCGTGCCACACACACAAAGTGTAGAAACAGCTTCCCTCATGTCGGTCAGCCTGATCATCAGCAACTGCTCCTCACCGTTTAGACGCCGGCTGACAGCGGGGAGCCGGCTGTGCGGAGTTAGCGCTTCTTTTCGATCCAGCTGCGGCAGCGACGCCCGCTTCGACCATATAAGTGGTATAAATTCAACAAAATTATTTCCGCAGTACATTTATATCGCTCTGAAAATTCAAGGTGACGTCTTCTTCTTTCCGTCCAGTCGAGAGGAAACTCCTCTCTCGCTGCTCATCTTAACGTCCAGCCGGATTATTGGCCGGCTGACTAAAAAGGAGCAGGCCAGCTGACTAACTGTCCACACAGCTGCTGCAGCATCACCTCTGCTCCGACTGCGGTTGATTCACAGCTAAATAAAATGCAGCTGCTCTCCAACAACGTGTATTACGGTAAAACACAACATGGGTGCTGTGAAAGGACAAAAATACTCCCAATTTATTTCCAAGTCGTTTTTCGCGCTTTATAATAATACATCACACATTTTGTATTTTATTTAACTGATCCCACTATGTACCATAAAATGCCTCAGCAGTCTCCTCAGATAAATAGTGTTAAATTATTATTTTATATATGAATGTTTCTTTTAACATATTATTTTGATAAATGTTCTGTTATGGCTTGGCGCTTTATAAATAAACTGAATTGAATAGAATAATTTTAATATAAACTTGAGGATAAAATCAAATGCAACAATTGTTTAAATTCTCCTTTAGCATAATAGTGCAGTCAGCATTCTATTTTTAGTGTTCTTTTATTATAATTTGTTTAAGATTGATGCAAAAGTGATGGATTTATGCCTAGTGCAGCACAGAAAGGCGGACTTGACATTTAAATGCACACTTTGGGAGAAACTTGCAAAAAATGAAGTTTATGACTCATTAAAAGTGAAAATATGAAGCATGTGCTACTGTTTACTGCTTTTTAGACCAAAGTTTGGATTGAACTTTTTTTTAAAACATAGAACATTACAAAAAATCAATTTGTAACAACAATCTGAACAAGAATGTAGTCAACAAGACACCTGCAATTAAGTGTCATGGCTGTTGAAAATATTTTTATGAATCTAAATGCATCATTCTTATTATCTCAAAATAAATATCAAATAAATTACTGACTTGTTCCACATTAAATTACATGTGAAAACTCATTACACTTGAGACAGAGTCAGAGTCAGAGTCAGAGTTTCTTTATTGTCATTCGCACCTCATGTGGTACATGTGGTGGAGCGAAATTATGTACACAGGGTCCCAGTTACATCCAACAATAAAATGTATAAGAAAAACAGTAATAACATCTAAGATATGAACTAAGAAAAACATCAACTAAATATACACTAAGCACTCATAACATAAAACATTGAACATCACCACAAACATGAACATGAGTCTGTGAGCAGATGTGCACGCATGAACACATCAACATTGAAACAGATCAGCAGCAACATGAAACAGACCAGCAGCAACATGATATGGTTTTTCACAGTCATTATTCTAGTTAGAGATTCATGAGTCTAACAGCCTCAGGGTAGAAGCTGTTCCTCAGTCTAGTGGTTCTACACTTAATGCTCCTTAACCTCCTTCCTGAGGGGAGTGGGGCAAAAAGTGTGTGTGCTGGGTGGGTGGGGTCCTTCATGATGCAGGTGGCCCTCTTCCTGCATCTGGAGGTGTAGATGTCTGTGATGGTGGGGAGACTGATTCCAACAGATTTCTGTGCAGCCTTCACCACTCTCTGCAAAGCTTTTCTTTCTGCAGCTGTGCAGCCTCCATGCCACACATTGATGCTCGAGCACAGGATGCTCTCCACTGCACACCTGTAGAAGGAGGTGAGGACTGAGCTTCCCAGACCAGCTCGCCTCAGCCGTCTGAGGAAGTAGAGTCTCTGATGAGCTTTCTTGATCAGGCTGGTGGTGTTGTTGCTCCAGCTGAGGTTGTCATTCATGTGTACACCCAAGTACTTGTAGCTGGAGACCACTTCCACCGCAGATCCTCTTATGTTCAGGGGGGTGTAGGTGTTTTTGTTCCTTCTGAAGTCTACAATCATCTCCTTTGTCTTCTTCACATTGATGTGAAGGTTATTCTCTCTGAGACAGTCTTATTGTTAAAGCATATTTTGTAATTATACGCCCAGTGAAAGGTTTTAAGACATTTTAAAATAGATAAATCCATTATTTTGTACAGTATTAAAATACATTGTTAAACATGCTGAGCTACGACAGGAAGAGGAGGGCGCTTTGATTTTCCACGCCCCTCTTGACCATATATGGTGCGTCTGGTAGTTGGAGCGCGGCTACATCCACCCGGCAAAAAGTGGACACGAGACGTCAGTGTGCTCTGTGGGCAAGTTGTAAAAACTCTACAAATACATAGGTAAGAGCGGCACTATTTATAGAAGTCTACTTCTGTGTAAAAGACCAATGTATCCCAGTTATTTTTTGTTAAAGAACGGACTCGAATGAAAACTAATTTACCGCCTAATTTACCTGAGTGAGCTAGTTTGGGCCTCATGTTAGCTTTAGCAAGGCCTGTGTCAGGTAGCTATCGTACGAAACGGCGTTTTATCTCATTATTTTTCTTCTTTTTCACGTTTGAAGTTCTTCACAATGCCGCTAACAAAACGGCTTGAGTTGTGTTTCCTCTCAGTCTTTATTGAGGAATGGAAAACTTAGCGGCTTAATCGCTGGAGGCTAACAGCTGGGCTAATCGGGCTTCGTGTTCTAGAAAAAGCCGGCCGGTTTGAAAGAAACCAGAATGCGGTTTTCTTGGTTGTCTTGGCAGCGCTATCCACGAGTTTAAGTCGGTGTTTTATGCCATGTTATGTCTTTAGCGTTTATTTTTAAATACGCCACAACTGGGCGTCTAATCATTGGAACAGTTCGTACTAATCTGGTGTTGTACCGAAAAAAAGCCACCCCGTCACAGGAAGCACACGTCGAGCTACTGATGGGTTCAATTCAGAAGTGGCAAACTAAAGCCTTTTGGTTTTTTTTTTAGCACTACTGTAGACGCTTTTCTTTAAAAGATTTGCTTTATGAATAAATTGTGCATTTATGGCGATGTCCTTTTTAACACACCAGCAGCTTATCTAGGCCATCAGTCACTTTACTGACTCGTATTACTATCTTACACCTATGACTCATGTGTGTCTTGGCTACGTCAACAACTTAAAATTCTCAAGATATGGCAAATCTGTTTTCGTGACCTCCTAAATTGATGGCAACTTTCTGATTTTGTTTTTAACATTGGGGTCGACTTGTACAGCCATGCCGTCAGATTTGGCTAAGAAGAAGGCCGCCAAGAAGAAGGAGGCCGCCAAAGCCCGACAGCGCACCAAGAAGTCAGAGGATGTGAATGGGGAGAGCGAACAACCGGAGATCCAAGAAAATGGAGCACACAGCAATGGTAAGAGGACGACTGGTCACTGGATCAGGATCTATGATGATCTGAGTAGGAGCTGGCCTCGAAGCCAAAATTAAAACGAATTATAATGTTTACCACATTTTCCCTTTTGGGGAATAGGTGTTGCTGATCTGACTAAGGAGTTGGATGAGTTTGAGCTGCGGAAGACGGAGGCTCGGGCAGTGACGGGCGTTCTCGCCTCGCATCCCAACAGCACTGATGTCCACATCAGCAGTCTGTCGCTCACCTTCCATGGGCAAGAGCTGCTAGTAGACACCAGCCTGGAGCTCAACTCTGGCAGACGCTACGGCCTCATCGGCCTCAACGGCACAGGTACCTTTGGTTTTTCCCTAGTATACTGCCATTTTGACGGAGCTACTAAACTTCTATACTTCTTGCAGAAAATTGCTTTTTATTCCCTTCTCCAAAGGAAAAATTGCCAATAACGCTTAATTTTCTTCTCTTACTAGGAAAGTCCATGCTCTTATCAGCCATTGGGCATCGTGAAGTTCCCATTCCTGAGCACATAGACATTTACCACTTGACCCGGGAGATGGCCCCCAGCGACAAGACGGCTCTGCAGTGTGTCATGGAAGTGGATGGACAAAGGATAATGCTGGAGAAAGAGGCAGAGAGACTTGCACATGAAGATGGTGAGTGGGATCAGGCTATACAATGCACAAAAAGGGAGTATGAAATAACTTTTTTTTTTTTATTTAGTTGAGCAAATGCTTTTATGAAGCTAAGTTTGGGTTAAGTTAAACTCCTCTACAGGAAACTGTTAAAGTAAAAGTACAAAGTAGGTTTGAAGAGTTGCAATTCAAAAAGAGCAGAGAACTTCATCCGTTGTGACTAAAACTGACCCCTCTCTGTTTCTCCCACAAAGCCGAGTGTGAGAAGCTGATGGAGCTGTATGAGCGTCTGGAGGAGCTGGATGCAGACAAAGCAGAGGTCCGAGCGTCTCGGATCCTCCACGGTCTGGGCTTCAGTGCTGCCATGCAGCAGAAGAAACTCAAAGACTTCAGTGGAGGGTGGAGGATGCGCGTTGCTCTGGCAAGGTAATGTCAGTGGGCTTGGCTGGAATTTTTATGGTAGGGTTTGTGAAGTAGTTGTGAATTGTCAGTGTCTTACCAGCAGTAGATGACGGAATAATAAAGTCGGCACCTGTTTTTAGGTAACTTTTTTTTTATTTATTTTTTTTTTTTTTTTATGCAGTCGTGCATCATTTCTGTTAAATTAAGAAACGAAAAGTCGTAAATACTTCAGTGTGTTCCTGTGATTTCAAAGTGTTGCTGTCGGAATCCAGCGGGAAATGTCTTCTGCCCTAAAATTGTTTTTTATTAACGTTCATCTTTGCAGAGCTCTGTTCATCAAGCCCTTCATGCTGTTGCTGGATGAGCCGACCAACCATTTGGACCTGGATGCCTGCGTGTGGCTGGAAGAGGAGCTCAAGTCGTAAGTTTACAGCCTGCTTGAAGAACTTCAATAGCCCCAGTGGTCATTTTTCACTTGTAGATCAACTTTGTTACTTTTGCCAGGTTCAAGCGAATCCTTGTGCTTATCTCGCACTCGCAAGACTTCCTGAACGGCGTCTGTACCAACATCATCCACCTACATCAAAGACAACTCAAGTATTACACTGTGAGAATACCCCCAACTTCAAATGCTACAAAATGAGCTACAGAGAATATCTTAAATGAACACCGCCATATCATTCCTAATGCTAAATAAGGGATTAGAGTAGGCTGTTGCTAATCATATCTTCATGCTGTTGGATGACGATGCAACTCTATTTTTGTTCAGGGTAACTATGACCAGTATATAAAGACCAGATCAGAGCTGGAAGAGAACCAAATGAAGCGCTTTAACTGGGAGCAGGACCAGATAGCACATATGAAGGTAAACAAGAGACTCCTTAGGGTGGAGGGTGCATGTTGAGCACCATTCCCACCTAATTAAAAAAATGTGAGCAAGTGTATGTAACTGGTAATTGGTGGCAGTCTTTAACTGTGCTTCATTCGCGCGTCTCTTCTAGAATTACATTGCCAGGTTTGGTCACGGCTCGGCAAAGTTGGCACGACAAGCACAAAGCAAAGAGAAGACTCTACAGAAGATGGTGGCATCGGGTCTGACTGAGAAAGTTGTAAATGACAAGGTGATCACTGACGCTGATGTGAAATATGGTTCAGACATGTCTGGCCACCAGGCAGCTGTTAAAAAAAAAAAAAAAAAAACATCCTTGCATTAGACTGCCTTTTTGCAGCGTATTTTAAAGCATGGTCCATGTTTTGTACTAAAACCTCTCATTTCTTCCAGACTTTGTCTTTTTATTTTCCTCCCTGTGGGAATATTCCTCCTCCTGTTATCATGGTTCAGCATGTGAGCTTCAAGTACAGTGACCACACGGTGAGTATAGCTGATCAGTTTTATATCTAGCCTCTGAAAGAATTGGTACTTACTCCTGTGTTGGTCTTTATCAGCCGTACATTTATAAAAACCTGGAGTTTGGTATTGACTTGGACACTCGAGTGGCTCTGGTGGGACCCAACGGAGCAGGAAAGTCCACGTTGTTGAAGCTGCTTATGGGAGAGGTTGGTGCTATATTTGTATTGACTACCTCCAACTTTGTGGTTTTTTTAATTTACAGCTTTACTCAGTTTTTGTTTTTTATTTTTTTGTAGCTTCTTCCATCCGACGGCATGATCCGCAAACATTCTCACGTCAAGATCGGCAGATATCACCAGGTAAAATCCCACCTGTTGTTGTGTTCGAGTTAGTTTTGTAAGTACAGTTAAAAGAGCTGCTTCCTGTCTGGTCTGTGTTGCAGCATCTGACAGAGCAGCTGGAGCTTGACCTGTCTCCTTTGGAGTACATGATGAAGTGTTTCCCTGAGATCAAAGAAAAGGAGGAGATGAGGAAGATCATCGGTCGCTACGGCCTCACAGGAAAACAACAGGTAAGAGGAAGCTGCTGAACCAAGTATTACAATTTGTTTTTTAAATGTGCTTGAAACTGTAACAAACTCGTTTCAGGTCAGTCCCATCAGGAACTTGTCAGATGGTCAGAAGTGCAGAGTATGTTTTGCCTGGCTGGCCTGGCAGAACCCCCACATGTTGTTCCTGGACGAGCCCACCAATCACCTGGATATCGAGACGATTGACGCCCTGGCAGAAGCAATCAACGAGTTCGACGGAGGCATGATGCTGGTTAGCCACGACTTCAGGCTAATTCAGCAGGTGTGTACTTGCTATAAAATTAACATTTGATGAGAAGCAGCGCACTTTAAATTGGTTGAATATGACGTCACTTTCTCCCTTTTAGGTGGCTCAGGAAATCTGGGTTTGTGAGAATCAAACTATCACAAAGTGGAAGAGCGACATCCTGAGTTACAAGGAGCATTTGAAAGCAAAGATCGAAAAGTAGCATGTGACCGGAAACACCGAGGCGCTCCTTTAACGCGTGGACCTGCACGCTCCTGAAAGGAGCAGGAAAACATCCTACTGAACTGAAACTCTTGTGCATCTTATCGGATTTGTCTCGTACGTGGTAAACTGCATCTGCACCTCTTTGACAACGACCCTGATCGAATCCCCTCCGTCTCCCTTCACCGCAGGCTGCACTCCGACTGGCTGATCCACCTGGAATGCATTCCATTGTGCTGTCTTCTAAAATAAACTCTTTTTATTTTCTCTCCCAGATCTTCTGTTTTTATCCAAAACTGTAAGCAGCAGCTTTTTAGGTTGTTTTATATTTAAAAGTTAACTCCCCACTCAACCCCATGTACAACAGTTCTGCCTTATTTAACAATGTAATGCAATACAATTTGTCAGAATGAAATAAAGACGGCATAAATAAATTGAGAAATCTTTATTTTTCAACAAGTTTGGGAACTGTATCAAACTGTTTCAGAACAAAAATATTTAAACTGTAAACAAATAAAACAAACTAAAGGTTTCTTTGGGTTCTGATCTTACACCGCTGCATGTAGTTAGCCTGTGGTGGACGGGTTGGACTTAATTTGTAAACGGCGTTAACGGGACAATCGCACTTGGTGCTTCTTCAGAATGCACATGAAGTTGATGGTTTGTGGAAAAAATGAAGATGAATTATAAAGTTCATACATTTTAGGACTGACGGCCTGATTGGGCCTGCAGGAGCGTTCTCCAAGTTTTGATCCAAATGTTTTCAACTGAGCCAGCAGGAACGTGTCATGTTTTATATTTCAAATAAATCCACTGTTCGTACTAAAAGCCAAATGTGCCTTAATCATGCAGGGGTCTTAACTAGTTTTTACCGGTACATGCTATGGTGCATTTTCCAACACGAGTGTCCTCTTTGACACACAATGTTAAAACTGTAACGTTAGGTTTTATTAGTAAATTCAGTTTTTAATGTAAAATGAAGATGAACAGAAGACTTCTCAACATGCTTGATTGTCAGGTTAGCGGTACTAGCTGCAGTTGAAACGGTGCAAGTCGAGGAGTGTTTCATTTCATGCCGTTTACAGATATTCCTGGTGGCAGCAGATTTCAGGGGTGGGGAGGGGGTAGCAGCAGCAGGCGGAGCTGTTCTCATGTACCAAACCAAAAGGTATCGATGCTCACTGAGCTTCCCACTCCTCATCTGAGACTTCATCTAATGGAATGGTGCGAGTGTTACTGGCCCGGATGCTGCTGATGCTGGTCTCGGAGAGGAGGTTGGCGATCCCCATCAGGCTAACACCTGTGCCGTCCAGGTTCACCTGAGCAAGACGCATGTTCTTCAGGTGCTTTAAACCTGCAGGAGAAGTATGTTATTGTGTTGCTCCTTCCAGACAAAGACCATCAAATTAAAGTTATAATGATACCGTTGTCTGTGATCCGTGTGCGGCTGAGGTTGATCTTAACGAGCTGGGGACAGCGGATCAGACCCCTCCTCAATACTGTATCTCCCACCTGTGTGCTGGCTAAACCCAACACCTAGAAAACAGGACAGGATGCATTAAAATGTCTTCATTTATTTATTTTAATCAAAGCTGCTGTCAAACTTTGTGCTTCCCTCAGCTAAGTCAAATTAAATCTCAGATTTACAAATTAAAGTACAACTTTTATTAAATATCAAGAGTGTTTAAGACTAGACTTCTGCTAGGATAATTAGGATTACAGTAGTCCCTTGTTTATCGCACGAGTTATGTTCCAGACACCTCCGCAATACGTGAAAATCCACAAAGTATGGACGTTATATTTATTTGAGTATGCATAAATATTTTAAGGTTTTATAAACCCTTCCCACACCCTTGCAATGTTCTTAACAATGTTCATGCTTGATTATTTAAAATTAACTATCCATGTTGCTCGTGCAGCTCAGGTATAAGACAGACCCCCACACCCCCTCCTTTCTCTCTCTCTGCTGTGACAGACAGCCTTGGAAAGAGAAAGGAGGGGTGGTGGTGGTGGGGGGGGTTTGTTGTCTGTTTTATACCTGAGTGAGCTGTGCTCAGCCACTCTCTCTTCTTTAAAACTGATCCAATTTTATTTTTCAACCTAAGCATTTTCTCCGATATTCTACATTTGTTCATCTGATCTGTTCATCCCTGCTCTCTGAGCAGTAGTGATGGGGAAAGACAAACTCCAACCCCTGCCCCCCCCCTTTCTCTTTCTGAGGCTGTCTGTCACAGCAGAGGCAATGGGAAAAGACAGCCCCCACTCCCTCCTTTCTCTTTCTGAGGCCGTCTGTCACAGCAGAAGCGATGGGGAAAGACAGACCCCGCCCTCTCCTTCCTCTTTCTGAGGCCGTCTGTCACAGCAGAGATACAGAAAGGAGGGGGCGGGGTCTGTCTTTCTCCATCACCAATCGTGTGTCGTGTACAATCTTACGCTGAAAACACGCAAAAGAGTGAGTCTGCAAAAGTCAAACAGCGAAGTATCGAGGGACTACTGTAACTAGAAAAAGTGTTGGAACACACAACTGTAATGAGGACTAATAGAGTTTTTCAAAGACATTTTAACTCCTGCTGACTTTTCATCCTCACAGTTCATTCTAAACCTAATTTAAAACCATAGAATGATGAATTAATGACTTTTCAGCTGTAGATTTAGGTCTTGCTGTAAAGAATATTTTTCATCCTAACAGGTCTTTTTTAATGAGGAATGCAAATTAATTATCTAAAGACTGCAGTCAAAACTAGGCAATTTAACAAACTTAAGTTTTTTTCACGTGCAACTAAGAAAAGCAATTACACAAATACAAGTTAAATCACCTGAAGGTGCGGCAGACAGGTGATGAGGTCTGCCACTCCTCGGCTGGTCACCATGGTTCGGTCCAAACACAGCTCCTGCAGCTCCTGCAGGCTGCGCAGTGAGGGGAGCCCTGCGTCAGTCACCTGCGTGTTGCTGAGTGACAGCTTCTTCAACCTGCGTGAAACAAACTATGTTAGTGATCCTTGTTTTAATCACAACCAGCTGCAGAGTGAGAAGGACCTGGTCATGATGGAGAGCTGGTGAACGCCCTGGTCTGTGATGTGTGTGTAGTCCGTCAGGTCCAGCTCTGCCAGCAGCGACAGCCTGCTGAGAGCCGACATCCCACTGTCTGTCACGGTGTGGCGTCCAGGGAGGGTGAGGTGAGTCAGCTTTAGACCTGAGAGGAAATCAAACCTCACAGATTCGGCAAAGACTTCCCTCGTGTTCTTTCGCTCCCTCAGTAGGGACGTTTTTCAATTCCCGTTGTGTTTACGAACCTGAAATGATCTCAAGTGTGTAGTTGCCATCAGTTACAGGAATTCCTCCCAGGCTGAGAGACGACAGAGCAGGATGACCAGCGAGGCTCTTTAAAGACGCCTCGGTGACACCTGTCCCATCCAGACTCAGAGTCTGAAGGCTGGACATCTCCGCTAGGGCTGCCACGTCCTTAACCTGACACACAAACACAAAAATAATGACATGACCAAATCTAAACAGCACTCTCATCAGGACGAAAAGCTGAAGTACCTTAGTTTGCTTGATGCTGAGAAGTCGCAGCTGGGGCACACAGGTGGGGAGCACAGCCAGCGTGGCTTCGGTCACCGCTGTCTGGTTCAGGCTGAGCTGAGACAGACAGGAAGGAGCTGACTGGAGATATGGTGCCATCCCAGCATCTGTCACTTTGGTCTGATCCAGGGACAGGAAGCACAGGCTCTTCAAACCTTCAGATGGAAATACATTAAATTAATGTATGTGGTAAATATAGCTCAACCAAGAGGAGCTGGTTTTGAGATCTGACCTGTGATGTACTGCAAACAGGAGTCCGTCAGTTTGATACAGGTGGCCAAGTTGAGAGTCTGGAGTTTGACCAGGCTGGGCAGGACCGACAGGCCAGAATCTAAACCAAACCAGCTTACAGGATGAAGAAGAAACTGCAGCGCACGTTGACAGAATATTTAGCAACACCTAAAACAAAGCTTTTACACAACGTGCAGATATCGACTTCATACCTGTGATGAGTGGAGAGTTGACGAGACTGAGATGCTTCAGCGCTGTGAAGGCCCGTAACTGTCGCAGGAGCTCGTTGGTGGAGTAAGGGTAGCAGTTTAGGACAAACTTCTGCAGCGGGCAGCCGAAGAAGAGCTCCAGGGTGCGTGGACGGAGCAGCCTCTCATTTGACATGTGGTTGAGCAGCAGTTCTGCTAGCTCCGGGGTCAGGCCTGCCAGACTGCTGCTGTACTGCATGCTGGGAGCTAGGAGGATTGAAACCAAAGTAAGAACTGTATGCACAGCACGAGAATACAAGGAAACACATTTTCTACTGCGTTACACGCCTAACTGTTCTCTAACCTACCAGTCATGAGGTGGACAGTTGCTCGGGTGGCCAAGGCACATAATGACGGCACGTTTGGTGTCCTGAAGGGTCTTTTAGGGGGAGATGGGTGCCCCTGAGAGGGACTGTGGTCCTCTTGAGCAGCTCTCTGGAGACGCTCCACCGCTGCCTGTCCTGCAGCTACATGCGCCACTGGTCCTCCAGCCTCCTCGGGGACAGCTGCTTCCTCCTCCGGAGCTTCTCTAAAACACACAGTCAACGGTCAAACTTTCTCCAAGCAGGAAGTACAAAGATAAAAAGAAGAGCTATAAATGTACTTAATTCTATCTGCATCAACACAGAAGAGGCACAGATTTGTTTCATTGTCCATACCTCCATGTTATTGTTGTGTGAACGTTTATGAAGCATTCACACTATTGTGATCCATTTTAATTCCGTACATTTTTAAGCATCTTTCTCGTTAAGCATTTTTTGTTCTATTTCAACAAATCATGAATCAAAAACGTTCAGCTCGGTCAGGAAAAGGGTGCTATGACTTTTGGTATTGGTGCAATTTTAGCTTTTTGAAATATTTAGCCTTTACTGCCATTTTTTTTCCCTCATAGAAAAATGAATTGAGCTCATTTTCCATCCATCATATCTTTAGATCAGTTTGCAATTTTTTACTGCTCCTTTCATATTTTGTTCTGGTTCAGCTTCTTTCAGCTTCCTTGTGCAAACAAACATTTTTTTCAGCTAATTTCAGCTGTTTTGTGCTCCTTTTAGGTTCTTTCTACCAACTACAACATTTTTGTGCTTCTACTTCTTTTTGCTCATTTCAGCTTGTTATGCTCCTTTTAGCTTATTTATGCAAGTTTCAGCTTTTTCTGATATTTCAGCTACTATTTAAAAATTTTGCCCCAAGTGGAGGAGTTCAAGTATCTTGGGGTCTTGTTCACGAATGAGGGATAAATGGAGCGTGAGATCGATAGGTGGATAGGTGCAGCGTCTGCACTGAAGCGGGCGCTGTACAGGTCTGTTGTCGTGAAGAGAGAGCTGAGTCAAAAGGCGAAGTTCTCAATTTACCGGTCGATCTACGTTCCCACCCTCATCTATGGTTAGGATGCCTCCTGGACGTCTCCCTGGTGAGGTGTTCCGGACACGTCCCACCGGGAAGAGACCCAGGACACGCTGGAGGGACTATGTTTCTCGGCTGGCCTGGGAACGCCTCGGGATTCCCCCGGAGGAGCTGGACCAAGTGGCTGGGGAGAGGGAAGTCTGGGCCTCCCTACTTAGGCTGCTACCCACGCGACCCGATCCCGGATAAGCGGAAGAAAATGGATGGATGGATTATTAAAAAAAATTATGCAAATTTAACTTTTTCAGCTAATTCCACATTTTTTGCACTCAACTTTTTTCAGCCTAATTCAGCAAAAAATGTGCTCTCTCCACTTCCTTTAGGTAATTTAAGCTTCTTTCTGCTTGTTAGCTACTTTTCAGCTATTTCTTTGCTAATATCAGCTTTTTTCAGATAATATCCACTCTACATGCTCATTTCTGCTTCTTTAAGCGTAATTGGGCAAACGTGTTCTTTCTGCTTTCTTCTGCCAATTTAAGCTTTTTCGAATGTTTAAGCAAATTTCAGCTGTTTTCAGATAAATTCAAGTTTTTCACGTTAATTTCTGCTACGTTCAGCCAAATTAACTTCTTTATGTTAATTTCAGTTTGTTGTGCTCCTTTCAGCTTTTTTCTGCTAGCTTCATCTTTCTCTGGTCTTTTAGCTACCGTACTATTTAGCTCTTTGAATGCTAATTTTAGCTTTTCCAGCTAAATCCACTTTTTTTTTTTAACCTCATTTCATTTTTTTCCGCTTCCTTCTGGTAGTTTCTTTTTGCCTTTTCAGCTACTTTTCAGGTATTTTTTGTGAAGTGCAGCTTTTTTAAAGCTAAGTTCCAAATTTTTTTTTTTGTTTATTTAAATGTAATCCAGCAAACTTGTTCTTTCTGCTTTATTCTACTAATTTAGGCTTGTTCTTCCATTTCAGCTACATTTCAGCATGTTTTTAGCTAACTTTTTTTAGCAGTTTTTCAGCAAGTTCTTCAGTAATAAGCATTCACACTGCATTTTCGCAGGAAATGCAATTTTCTCTAGTTGTATTTAAATCTTCATTTATTTGCTGCAAAACAGTGACGGTTAGTCAAATATTTAAATGGAGTTTATAATTATTTAACAATAAATCCACACTACTTTACAAACTGAATTTTTGTATTTTTTTTAGTCTTTAATCAGATTTTAAAAAAGATACTGTATATTTCATTACAAAATATGTAGAGAAAAAAATCCAGGTTTTGATTGTTAAAATATTTTAAGATGCACACAAATTACACAAATCCATCAATTTCATTCCAATAAAGAGCATTTATCCCAGTGACAAATACGGGGAAAGAACACCACAACCCAGCTGCAAGTCTCTAACCCGACTTGTGGTTTGGGTGCATTCTGTCAGGACGCCCACCTGAGTCGGTTTCCTTGCTCTGGCCAGTGATGTCGGGGTTCAAATCCTCCTCGCATCCTGTTCTCGGGAAAGAAAGGCAGCCGGGGCATACCTGTGAAAAAAATTACACAACAATAATCCATACAGATAATCTAAACACATCAGCAAGCTCATTTGGTCTAGAATCCCTTTTAACTTTTGAATTTCTTCGCAGTAAAAAGTAAAGTAAAATTAAAACACACCTCTAATGATTAACATTTTGGCTTGATCTAGCTTCAACTACAAGAGCTTGTGTTCCTCGGGCCTGACTCACATTCAGCATGCTATAACACAACCGCATGCTCTGAAACAGTGAATCTGATTGGCTGAGCATCTGAATGGACTTGGGTAACTCAGTTCACAGTGATGGGGTCGAACAGTGTGCATGTTTGACACAAGGGCACATTCAACCAGAATCCTAATCTCTCTTAAATATGGTGCATTTCCAGGGCAGCAAGTCTAATCTCCTGCATGAAATTGAACTTTTGTTTTTCTGGAAGAAGGTCATTTGTTTCCAACAATAGTGTGGAAAAAGTTATCTGTAATAAAAGTGAGAAGTGGAGCAAGTAAAATGTATGTTAAAAAAAAGCTGAATAGAGACTTTATTGATCCCAGAGGGAGAATCAAAAACAGATTGCATTAAGGAGCAGCACCATTAAGAATGTCTGGTGGTTCTTCCTCTTCTTCTTGCTCCTCTTCAGGCTCGATGGCAGGATCCTCAGCGTTGCCAGGAACCATCCTCTGACCTCGCCCTGTCAAACAGCAGGAACGTCATCCATGTACTCTCAAAATCACATCACCAGTTCCAATGATTTAATCTACAAAATAAAGGCTACCTGGAAGAAAGAACCCAAAATTGTGCAAAAACACATTTGTTGGCTTAAAATGTTGAACAAAGATGCACATAAAAGAGTAAGACATGAAAATACCTGATGAAACGTGTTTAGTTGATTTAAGGTATGAGTTTTACTAACACAAATTTAAACTCGTGGCTTCTTTATTATTTGGAGGAACCCACTACTGTAAAAATTGAAAATAAAGCGAAACACTAATTTTAACAATTCAACTGACCCTGCGCTCCTCCTCGACTACTGCAACTCCCTGTTTACTGGGATCCCCGGCAAAAACCTTCAGAAGCTTCAATATATTCAAAACAGTGCAGCCAGGATTTTATTGAGAGCTCGTAAATTTGAACATATTACACCCATTCTCCATAACCTCCATTGGCTTCCTGTCACCTACAGAATTCAGTACAAAATTGCTCTCATTACCCATCAGTGTTTATATGGAAATTCACCAGATTATCTGAAGGACCTTCTTGCTCCATATTCATCCACCCGGTCCCTACGATCACAGAACAGTCATCTCCTCCACCTGCCACGAACTAAATTAAGAACCATGGGAGATCGGGCATTCTGTGTGGCTGCCCCCCGCCTCTGGAACTCCCTCCCTGAATATCTGAGAGCTCCACAATCATTGACTGACTTTAAAAAAGGCTTAAAGACTTTTCTTTTTAAGCAAGCCTATTCTGCCTCCACATGATTGTATCATTGATTTTAGTTGTTTGTATCATTGATTTTAGTTGATTTTATCACAGATTTTAGTTGATTTTATCACAGATTTTAGTTGATTTTATCATTGATTTTAGTTGATTGTACATTGATTTTAGTTGATTTTATCACAAGATTTTAGTTGATTTTATCATTGATTTTAGTTGCACTCTGTAGCACTTTGAGATTTTTGTTAATGAAAAGTGCGTTACAAATTAAATTCATTATTATTATTATTAACTGACCCTGCGCTCCTAACTCCTTATTGTTCTATTTTTCTTATGTCATAAAATGCTTCACTCTGGGAAACAAAACTGAATTTTTTTCTAATGCAGTAGTCCCTCGTTTATCGTGGGGGATCCGCGCCCTGAAGCCCCATGATAAGTGAAAACCGCAAAGTAGGAATAGTAGCACAAGTAGTAAGTAGTAGTTTATTTTAGTATATATATATATATATATATATATATATATATATATATATATATATTTTTTTTTTTTTTTTTTTTTTTAATTTTTAAGGCATTTTAAACCCTACCCACACTCTTGCAATATTCTAAATGTTTCTAAACTCTAAACGCTCTAAAAGAGAACAAGATGTCATGATTTCAACTCTCTGCCATCTGCTAGCGCTCTTGGCCACGCCCACTTCTCCGCTGCAGAGTGGAGATCATGACAAGCTGCAGGAGGAAGCTTCTCCTGCAACTTGTGGGCTGCACACAGGTGCTAAATCATTTAAAATCATTTATTTGAAATAAAAATTCCATGCCGGTCGTGCAGCTCATCCATCAATCAGCCAATTGTGTGTCATGTCTAATCTTATTTTGAAAAACCTCGATAGAGCAAGTCCACGAAAAAAGCACTGCGAACTAGTGAGGGACTACTGTAAATCATTTTGGGGATTGATTGGTGCAAAACAGAACTCATTCGTATGATGGGTTAAATGCAGAGAACCAATTTCTCCATTGTATGGGAACATAAAATGACAACACATAGCACTTATCTAATCTTATGATGCACTCTGCTGAGCTCTTCATTCTGTGTGATGCGTTTCAGTTAATTCATTTAGCTCCTAAAGAGCCAGCTTTTCGTGTAATCTTATAAAGTATTCTTGATTAACAGTTTCTCAGGTTTTCTGAAAGATCTGACAGATTTTTTTGTACTCCTTAAAAAACATGACAGAAATGCATTTCACCAGCTGTGGATAGATTTTCAGCTGACACTTCTTCTTTTGTTCCATTTTCCTTATTTTTTATTGCACACAACACTATTGTGTTTAGGTACAGGTGAAAAATAATCAACAATCTAAATAAAAACTTAAAAAACCCAGCAGAAAGTTAATAACTTGATGATTAAGACAAATTTAAAGTATTATAAGACTTTTCAGCTCCGTGAAAAACAACCAAAAATAAATAAATTGCTAGGAGAAATTTAAAAAACTTACCCCAGAAATGAGATGGTCCCGACAGCGGAGGGTCAGCTCCAGGTATCCCAGCATAATTCACCGCCTCCCCCCACACGTGGTTAGGCAGTAAGGGTGGTAAAACCGGGTCCAGCCCTCCTGCATCTTCCAGAACAGGTATATGTGGTTGAGGGGGTAAAACGCGTGGAGATGACTCATTCTGACCTGCCGGAGTGACGTCTGCAGGACTTGGAGGATCCTGAGGTGTCTCTGGAGGAGTGGTCTGAATGCACAGTGCAGCGTTAGGTGTGAGGCCCAGAGAGCGCAGCGAACACGCCAGCTCTGCCTCGCCGAAGCGTTTACGAGGGAAACCCTGGAGGAGAGAAAAGGAGGGCAGGGAGGGGTGGCGCCCACTGATGAGCTCCACGACGCTGCGCAGTGTGGCATCGGCTGAGAAGCGCTCACGCATGGACTCACCGGACGGCAGCCGAATCTGCATAAACACACAAATAAACAGTTTAAATAAGTGCAATAATGTCGTTCGAATTCATGCAGTTCTTAGAGATCATCTGAAATTAATGTTTCCCACATTTTTTTTTATATCTGTTTTTTCTTCTCAGGCAGGAAAAAAAAAGTCTGATAGGAATTTTTTCGCCTCCAATTCCTACATGCGTCCAGTTTCACTACTTTTTGTCTGTCTAAACAGAACTCACTTGTAAATGAGTCTTCTAGGCTCACTGTGACTTATCTGTCTAAATAAAGGTTGAATGAATGAAAAAGGCCTACCATGAGGATACAGTTATTGTCTACATTCGTCTGAATCTTTCCCCCAAGTTTTTGCCCCTGATCGCTGGGAGCAGTCGTCTCTGAAGCTGCAGCTGTCTGACTTTTTGCCTGAAAGGTTCTCCGATCTTCGGCTATCCTCTTTAACACCATCTCACGCTCCTGCCGGTGCAGAACACAAAATGTTCATAACTAAAGTCACATTTGGACACCAGACTTTAACGTTTTTTTTTCTTTGAATTATAAAGTATTGCCATCTGGCCAATGCGTACCTGTTTCTTTTTCTTTTTCTCAGCTTGAACTTCATGAGCAACGCGTTGTCTTTCTTTCTCTTCAAAGTCGCTCTTGTCGTGTTTGATCCGTGACTCAACTGGATGTGGATCCAGGGGTTGGGTAGAAGATTGTGACGACTTCAGAACCAGTGATGAGCATGCTAAATGAACACAACCAAGCAGAAAGGATGAATCTACTCGTATAATATCGCATCCTAAACTACACCTCTTTAGGAAAAGTGGAAGGGCGATACCTCTGCTGTCAGGAGAAGTTGCAGCAGTGCTTGCTGCTTCTTTGGGAGGGTTGAAAGCAGAAAAAGGCGTTTCAGGTGGTTGTGAGGACTGTCTTGCCAACGTGTGCCGTGGATACTGACCCTGTAAAAGCCTATCAATATACAGAAGACACAAGTAGTTGGCAGATAGAAGGGACATAAATAATGATATTAAACTAGTGTATTTGAAACTCACCACTCAGTGGCCTCCGTCACAGAAAAATGTCCCGCCTGCACAGCTGCCTGGATCTGATCTTCTGAGAAACCCATCTCACTGAGGACGAGGAATAACTCCCCGATTGTCTGCAGCAAAAACAACAAAAACACAGTTCACTCTACAGCAAACAAATACATGTAAACAAAAACAGATCAGCTACATTTTTGTACTTTTTAAAATGATTACTTCTGGTGTGAATATGTTTTTACTATTTCCATCAGGCTTGGGGGGCTTTCAAATTTTTTTGTTTTGGACTTTGGATAGTTCTGATTTAGTGGACTGAAAGGTAAATAAACTGAAGTGCTAAAATTAAGTAAAGTGTCACAGTATGTTATAAATGTTCACGCACTGTGACAACCATTGCTCTTAGTGAGATTATTCTTTCATTGTTTTCAAACAGTATCATCCTACTTGTGTTAGGGTTGTTTATGTCACTGTTTAAACTTCCCAGTTTCGAGTTAAATTTAAAAAATATTAAAGGTTTAGAAATGTGTTGATTTTACAAGGATAGATAAACTGTTCCATGATGACGATGAAGCATAAGGCTAATGGAAAATATGCTAGCAAAATGAAGGTAAACAAACAGCGTTAGCATAGGAGCTAACAGATAGCTGAGAAACAGGTTAGCTAGGAGGCTAAAGCTAACTGAGCTAGCTGGCTAATGTTCGTGCCCAGCTTCAGGTCAAATGGAGACGGGTCATTCGGAGCTTACCGAGGAAGAACTCATGTCGTTGTTTCGAGGTTACTGCAAAAATATAAAGAGAAGCTAATAGCTATTAGCAACTTTGTTTTACAGAGCTGTGCACTGCTAGCCTGACTGACCTCTCCTCCCCTGCCTGGCTAACACAGACAGAACGTCAACAAGAAGAGCAGCCGCTCAAAACTTTGATAGATTACTAAAAAAAGGCTCGATATGATTTATTATATTCTGTAATTATGCTAAAAAACGGTCTTGTTTAAACAAACACTTTTAAAAAATTAAAGAAAAGAAAGAATGAAGTTTTAAAAACGTTTACGTTTCACATAATTTAACTTGCACTAGCAGCAAGCTACCAGTAGGTAGCAGCTTTATACCATTATTAAACTGCACAAGTGCGCAAAGGTTTTTAATGCTCATTGCTAAGCTTGAACTGAAACATTACAAATGCTATTTTAAACGATATAAAATGGCGCTGTAGGAAAAAGTGTACTACAGTAGTATTCCAGATTAATCAATTATGCATTTCTGAAATGCAGGTGTGCACTTAATGTAAACAAAGCACTCAGCTGAATCAGGTTGAAGCTTGAGTCACGTGATTGACCTACAAACTCAATTATTCATGGAGTTCCTCAGGGTTCAGTGCTTAGACAATTACTCTACTTTCACAAAAGTTCAAGACAGAAACAACTGGACTTTATTTGTAACAGAAGACATTTCGCTTCTCATCCGAGGAGCTTTCTCAGTTCAAAGAACAGTGTGGGCTGAGCTATGCTAGAAGCATAATATGCAGATTGCCTTATCACTCCTCACAATAGGGGTTTGTTAGGGTCTTTGTCAGTCTGAGTAACAGAGGAGCCACTCTGGTCACATGAATGAAATTCCTGATAGGTGTGAAAATAACTGGGTGTCAGGCCTGCAAAGATCTACCTGGATGCTTGAGCTTACAAATCTTTTTTCTTAGCAGGCCTTGCAGCTTTAGGCCTAATACCTAGTCATTTTCACACCTGTCAGGAATTTCATCCATCCATTTTATCAAATGAATAGTTACAAATGAATACAAATGAATCATTTGCATTTGTAATTGTTTCTATCTTAACATGAGTGTGTGTTTTTCCATCTTTCCTGCTGGTGAGGAAGACCTGCTCAACTGCTCGCCTCCATTCTGGACCTGCCATTCTGTGTCCGTTCCTCCTTCCTGTCCTCTCAAACCCTGCCGGTCGAAGCAGATGACCACTTGTCCTCAGCCTGGTTTTGCTGGATATTTCTTCCTGTTATGAGGGAGTTTTTCCTTTCCACTGTTGCCTTTGTGCTAGCTGAGGATGGGAAACTGCGACAAAATGAAGATTAAACGCATCTGCTGGCTTCCTTGGAGAACTTTACTAATTGGCATTTATAATGTATAGTGAGAAAAATAAGTATTTGAACACCCTGCGACTTTGCAAGTTCTCCCACTTAGAAATCATGGTTTCTAAGTGGGAGAACTTGCAAAGTTGCAGGGTGTTCAAATACTTATTTTCCACACTGTATATATA